GGATTCAGCCAGGTGAAGTAGCTTACTTACCACAGGATTCTTTGATGTGCCCGTGGGGACAGGGACTCCAAGGAGGGGGCTTCAGAGGGTCCTCCCACAAGCGTCTGCCAAGTGGACTGAACACTGTGTCTGGTCATCTGGAGGAATGGAGGTCCCATGAACACACTCTGGAAACACTTTCATTTCAGGAAAAAGTAACAAAATGGAAGGTCCGTGTGCCCTGGGCTGGGGCAGTGGCCGGGGGCAGTGGGGCTAATCCATCCAGCTGCATGATTTTCCACAGAGCTGGGAACGGGCTGTCCGTTTTCAAACGGTTGCTTTCTGAACAGTTATGCAAGGGCTTGCGTAACACTCTGGTTTTGCTCTTGACTTACAAAGCCCAAAATATTTACAAGCCGACCCTTCAAGCAACTGTTTGTCAATTCCTGGGCAAGGCGATGGACATACTTGAAGACTGTCCATCTCTACTTCTGCTCTTCATAGAAACAAGGACTATTAAGTGCTATTAGGAGTGCCTGCTGTGAGCTAGGCAATCAGCCTTCATCAGCCTTCACAACTCTGGGAAGGGCACTGTCGTCCCCGTCTCATGCCTAAGGACACTGAATTTCACAGAAGCCAAGAGCTCTCAGAGCCAGGATTCAAACCCAGGTCTGACCACCAGTGCCTGTCTATCTGTTCCTCGGTCAGGGTTTATAATGTGGATCCCAGGGGGCATGGAAGACAAGCCCCCCTGCATACTAGCTCACACACACACACACGTATGTGTCATTGATGTGACTGATTTTTGCAGTGCTGGGATGGAACCCAGGCCCTAGAACACGCTGAGCAAGTGCTCTATCACAGAGCCTCACCCCAGCCCCTCATTATATTTGTAATCTCTATTTCATTATTTGGTTTAGGTTTCTTCTTTAGACACATTAACTTTTGAATATTTTATCATACTCTATAATAAATCAGCTACCAATCAGAAGCTGGTGACAGTTTTGAAAGGGCTCTCTCCCTCCTTCTGCCTGGGTTCAAAACAGGGAGATCAGGGAGATGTGAACAAAAGGTCAACTTGATTCTTGAAGGGGTACAGGGAGAATCTGGACCAGGCATGGCCTGCAGCAGCCATGGGGTTCCTGAGCCTGAAATCCAGCATCAGACATGCCCATTGGCCCTCGGGGGCACCCTTTTGAGGCCCTTTTATACTAAGGCTCCTGCCGAGGACAGTGTGTGCTCCCTGGACATCTGACCCCAGACGGGAGAGGGCAAACCTGAGCCGTGCATGCCCAGCTCCCAGCTCTCTAAACATCGACCATCTAGAGAATTCCTCCTCCTCCTCCTCAGGGACACACACTGGGCTGGACAGCTACTCTAATGGAGCCCTGTTCCAGGGAGGAGACCACCGTGCCAGAGGTGCAAGTATCCCACCTAACGATATTCTCCATGTCCGTTGGTTCATGTACTTTATATGCACATTAAATACATAATTGTGCAGAGATCCTGAGATCCTCCAAGAGCTCTTACGACGAGGTCGAAGTGCAGACGTAGAAGACGGCTGCTCATCCTGCACTGCAGATGACTGTGGGAAGCCCCACCAGGGGGACGGGGGTCAGAGGACATAGTAATTGGAGGACCTTCTGGATCACTAGATGATTCATTAGCTTGGAGCACTGGACACTGTCTCTAATTTACAGGTCCCTTAAGGAAAACTGTGTGGGAGGAAGAAAAACTCCCTTCCTGGCAGGAGTGTCCCAGAGCCCCCCGCATGGGGCAGCCTCACTGTGGGAAAGTCCAGGGGCGGCTCCAGGGTAGACCAGCAGCACAAGAAGCCCTGTCCACCAGCACTCCCTGAAGTGCTAATGGTGACACTGGAGCTCACGGGCAGTGAGGGGCGTGACAGCAGGGACTGGGGTGAAGCATCAGGCCAGGCGGGGGTTGGGGTTCAGACTGAACTCAGGGCAGACTCAAGTGTGAACCTGGATACTTCCCAGGGTTTACAATAGGAGGTCTTGCTCACGGTCTTGCTCCCGTGAGAGGCTCTGTGAATGATTTGGGGGCCAGTACATTTGAGAAAGCCAATATAAATAAACCCTGTTAGAGTTTCCATCTGGAATGTTCCCCCAAGGCTCATGTGTTGAAGGCTTGGTCCCCCACGTGGCAATGTTCAGAGGTGGGGCTCCTGGGAAGGGACGGATCATAAAGGCTCCGACCTCATCAGCAGATTAATCCATGGATGGATTCCTGGCTGTGGGCTATTAGGAAGTGGTGGATGCTGTAGGAGACAGAGTGGAAGGGAGTCGGTCCTTGGGGTTGTGCCTTTGGGACTCTATCTTGTCCCTGGCCACTACCCTCTGCTACCCAGCTACTGTGAGGTGAGTAGCTTCCCTTATACCCTTCTGGCCATGATATCCTGTCTCAGTACAGGCCCAGAAAGAACAGAACCAAATGACCATGGACTGAAATCTCCACAGTTATGAGCCAAAATAAGTGTTTCCTCTTTTAAGTTGTTTTTCTCAGGTACTTTGTTACAGTGACGGCAAAGCTAACATGTAAATATAAATCACTGTAAAGAGTAACATTCACACTGCGTTTAATTACATGAGGCTGCTTATGTTTACATAAGATCTGCCATAAAGACACTGTTGAACCTTATTTAATACAGCATTTCTCATCTAATGTGTCCATGAAACGATTATTTCAGAACACTAATTGGCGTTTGTTCTGGACACACTTTGGGAAATGCTGAGTGGAAAGATTATGGATCTGGGAACTGTCAAGGTAATGGCCTTTGGATTTATAGTTCCACGTTCTTCCTCTTAGTAGCTGTGACTGTGGGTAAATTGCTTAATCTCTCAAGATACCAATTTCCTCATTCCTAAAATGGGTATGATAATTCCCAATTGGAAGAAGTGTGGTGATGTTTATAAAAGATCATCTTAAGGTATCCAACTAACATCATGTCCTCAACAAATTTAAATCTTTTTCTTTAATTACAGTTAGGGTTGGGAAGTATTTTTTTTTTTTAGTAAGGTTTTTAAGCCCAGGGAATAATTAGGTCATTCTAATCAGAGGTGTGCTTTGGTCAACAGTCTGGAGGGACTCAGTGCAGGGAGTTGGCTCTAGGATCAGAGACCCCACAGATGGGTTATGTGGATCTGGGGTCCAGTACAGGCCCCTGCTTTCGGGCGTGAGAGGTGTGGCACAACTCCCTCTCCGGGACCTCCTGCGAAGCCCACCTCCTCTCAGCACTGCCCGCTGGGGACCGAGCCTCTAGCATGGTGACCCTGCCAAGGAAGCTTGAGACGAGGTCAGTGCTCGCTCCGTGCCTCACAGGCCCAGAACACGGTGAATGCCCAGACAACAGTGGCGGTGCCAATGGTGACCGTCTTCATCACACACCGGGTCACACCAGGTCGGGGCTGCTCGATGGCTCGTCCTCTCAAGGAGTGGAGCCCTTCTTCAGAACCTGTTCCTCGGGGATGCCAATTCCTGTTGATTCTGACTTTTGGGGGGCTAAGCCTGGGAATCTGCTTTGACAAGCTCCCTGGTAGATCGTGATGGCCATGGATTCTTGGGCCACTGACCGGGCAGCCTGGGTTACGAGAGGCGGAAGAGCCACACAGGGAGAGAAAGAATGGGCATGAAAGAGGCTGTGCTGTAAGAAGAGGGTCCCGTGGCCTAGATCCTGGACCCAGAGACACCCATGGCCCTTGGCAAGGGGGACTGGCAGGTGCGAGGGTGGACGGCTGGGTCAAGAGGCCCTGGCTTTTCTGGAACAGCAGGCCTGGGCATGGTGTGTGTCTGTCCCAGGCGTCACCTGAAGGAAGGTTGGGGGTGGTGCTCACAGCCCCCCGGAGGGGAAGGAGAGCCCTCCCCCCACAGTTCCCGCTCCATTGCTCAAGGGCAGGTGGCCCCCCAGCCACCCCAGCAGTCCACGGCTCTGGCCGTCCTGTTCTTCACTCAGTCTGATCTCAGCCTGCTCCCAGGGGCTGGGCCACACGCTTCCCTCCTCCTTAAGGGAACAGAGATCAGCATTTTAATGGCCATTATTCCTCTCTAAGGTGTCTCTGTTGTTGTATGTGAAGCCCCCCGCCCCATTTTTTTGGTACAGGGGATTGAACCCAGGGGTGCTTAACCACTGAGCAACATCCCCAGCCCTTTTTATATTTTATTTAGAGACAGGGCCTCACTGAGTTGCTTAGGGCCTTGCTAAGTTGCTGAGGCTGGCTTTGAACTTTTGATCCTCCTGCCTCAGCCTTCCAGCTGCTGGGATTACAGGCGTGGGCCACTGTGCCCAGCTGTGAACCCCTTTTGCAGTCCACCATCCGGGGTCTCTGCTGGTTTTCCTCTTTTCCTTAGAAGATGGGTGGTACTGTGACCTGTGACTGGGGAGTTCCACCTTTGGGGTTGACTTTGCCATTGCAAAATTATACACATTAGCTACTACGCCTGCTTGTAATCTTGGTGGGCTTTGGGAGGCCCATGCAAGAGGATCGCGAGTTGAAAGCCAGCCTCAGAAACTGGGCAAGGCCCTGTCTCAAAATAAACAAATAATAAACAAATAAATAAATACATACATACATACATACAAATATCTGGGGTTGTGACTCAGTGGTTAAGCACCCTTGTAAAAAATAAAATAACCCACATCAGCCTGTACCCTCTATTGCTTGGGAGCAGGTGGCTTCCTCAAGCAGTCCCCGAGGCTGGGATCTGGTTACACGCCCCATCTCCCATGGCACGTGGCATTGCCCAGCAGCAGACAAGGCCAGAGAGCGGTCAAGACTCCTCCACAGGGAAGCTGTCATCTTTAGGCAGAGTTGGGAACAGCTGGGAGCCAGCAAATAAGAGGACACTTTCCCCGGGTTTGTGGACACTGTAGCTAAAAGAAGGCACCCTAGGGCCCAGAAAGGAGGCACCCCAAGTCTGGACAACACCCCAGCGCAGCCTGCACAGGGCAAGATGCCGGGGTGGGAAGCCATGCACCCTTCACCCAATAAAACCCAGACACGTCATTCTCACAGCGAGGCTTGAAACCAGTCAAGCACTTTTTATTTATTAAAAACAAAAACCAAAGAACAAGCCTACTGGTCAGGTGACAGTCTCTGCATGCTACAGCTAGGTGCCCCTCACATCAGACACTCAGTGTTTGCTTTTGTGTCAGAAGGAACCTGTCACTTTTCCACAAGGGTATGGGCGGTGTTGAGGTACCCAGGGATCCCCAGCATCGTCCCACGAGACACCAGCTGCGGCAATGCTGCCCAGAGCCCTGGAGGGATGAGAAGTGACCCAGTGACCTGAGGCTTCCTGGAGCAGAAGGCGTGGCTTGTAACTCAAGGTCCTGTCTCAGTGGGGTGCTACTAGTTACCCAGTGGGGTGCTATTAGTTACTGGGCACAAGGCACAGCCAGGCACGCTGGGGTGGACTAGAATCCTCCATTGCATTAGAATTGCTACTGCTATGTTAGCCCCGGGGCCTTTTTTTTTCAATATTGAAAGCAAAGGCCACCGGCTATGGCACGATCTGGTCCTTCCAAGGACCAAAGAGGCTGAGCCCCCTCTCTGGGGCCAAGAAGGCTTCCTTCGCAGGAGAGACAAAATCAGGAAGGCAGAATGTTGAGCCACGGGGGGCTGGAGGCCTTGCAGGCTAGCACCAGAACAGGATGGCCATGCAGCAGGGGGAGGCAGAGGGACACTCGGAGGGTGGTCCGTGGGCAGGTGAGGGGGTGGAGCCTGGCTGGACCTCTGCAGCTCTGCAGGGGACCCTACTCCAGGTGGGAGCAGTTCCTACCAGGGGAAGCAGAGCGCCCTCACCCTCAGGCCTCCCTGCAAACCCATCTCCTGCTCACTTGGGCCAGGTCCCGCTGCTGCTGGGGAATCTTTGGTCTAAGGTATGGACGGCTGTCTGCACTGCACACAAGAGCCCTGAGAGGATGGGACAAAGAGGTCACCCATGGCTAGGCTGCAAGGTGCCCATTAAGAGGTGGGCACAGTGGAAGGAGGGCAGTCAGGTTGTGGGGTTGCTGCTGCAGTGATGGGGTGGGACGCACGTGCCAGGCAGGCACTCCACACCGCGCCACGCCCAGCCCTCTTCTTAACCATGTCAGCTGCCAACTATTTGAGGGCAGGAGTGGTTTCCTCTGTAGCCCACTCAGGGATGGACACTTAGTAATAAGTACTACACTTAGTAATAAGTACTTAGTAATAAGTACTGTCCAATTCTCGGCCCAATATTCTTCCCCAGTCCTGGGCAGTTTGGCGCCTGTCCTTCAGTGTGGCACATCTATTCATTCCTCCACTTTCCACCTGGCACTGAAACCGCTGGGGGCTCAGAAACACTTTAAGGCTAAGAACTTTGCCCTAGAAACGTACTCTATGCAGCACCTTGTGACAGAGGCTCAAATGACCCCTGAAAGCCTGGTGTGGCTCTAGCAGTTTCCTAGGAGGGTGGGGGCATGAAAAGTGGTTCGAGCTGGAGCTCAGCTCTCCCCAAGTCTCAGCCTGGGACAAAGGCCAATGTCACCAAATGGTGAAGACTGATTCTCAGCAGAGAATTGGAGCAAAATCCTGTTTTAACAAGTGGTGGTTCTCAAATTCAGATTTTTCAGACTTGGTGGCACTAGGACAAGCTGCACATCTGCCCCAGCTTGTAAGATAAAGTGGCCGGCACAAGGCAGTGAGCGGAAGTGAGTAGGCAAAAACCCACCAGTGCCCACCCTTGGCTGGCACTTCTCTTGTGACCTATTGAAATGTTTGACCAAGGGGTGGTGACAGCTAACTTCAGAGACTGGCCCCCTGGGAGCCCAGTGCACATTTCACCTCTGAAGGAGCAGGAAGGTCAGGGCACGAGGAAGAGCAAGCCCCCCACCTGAGTCCCAGTGAGGCACTGATTGCATGAGGTGGGGCACGGGACTCCACCCTCCATGCATCGCTGTGCACGAGTGGCTCCTGTTCCCCTTGCAGGATTGTCTCGAGAATAAAGGAGGGGACATGGTGAAGAGCCGGTGAGTTGACCTGTTGGTATGTGGCACAGTGTCGTTGATGGCCCCAGATGTTTTCCCGGCCAAGACTCCAGGGAATTCTGCATAAGCTTCGTCAGTTGCTCCCAGACTAGTGAGCATCGTCCGGGATACCGTAAACCTAAGTCCCCAAGCAAGAACAGCGAGGAGGGTCTCTGCCATAGAGACCCAGGCAGCTTACTTGCCTGGGGGCATGTCTACCACTGCAGCAGTGAGCAGACACAGGAGTCCTCAGGCCACAGAGGTGACCCCAGCAAAGAACAGCCACCATGGAGGAAGGGGCTTCCACGGCCACAGTTCCCATCAGCGCTAGAATAGTCTAAAAGGCAAGTTCTTTGACTTGCAGGAAAATGTCCTACCCACAGGAGGGCAGAGCAGGTCTGGTCCCCCTGGCTGACCCCGGTGGGAGAGGGACGTGAGGCCACTGATAATCCTTCAGTGGACAAAGCGTGGAGCTCTTCACAGCCCGTGTTGGAGCCCCCACACCCTGGTCTACCCAGCGTCTGAGACGCAGTAGGTGCTTACAAAATGCCTGAAAATGTCACTGAAACCAGAGGCGAGTCAGAAAGAAAACCAGTCAGCTGTGTCTTTGGAAAGGTAGTCAGACCCCGTAAAGCAGCTCCACAAACAAGTTGATCAACAGGGTCCAAACCGCAGGAAAACCATGCTGGGCCTCCCACGCGGAGGGCCTCACATAGGGGTGGTCCTCTCCCACCTCCCTTTCTCCGCACTGCCACCTTCCTCCAGGTTGGGGCACAAATCAAGCCCTGCAAGAGAGAGCTCAGGCTGAGCCAAGGACGCAGGGCTGGCGTGCCACCGTGGACTGAGTGGGACGCCTGTGGAAGTGGCCAGAGCCCAGGGTACCGCCCGGGGCTGGGGTGCAGAAGAAGGCTCTCTGCACAGATCTTTGGCACGGCAGGTAGATGCAAGCATTCCCTCTAGCAGAGGGACACTGGGACGTGGCAGCAGGTGAACGCTGTGCACCGGAGGTCTCTGGGGCAGGGCAGGGCAGTGGGCTGGGTTCTAGGGCTCTCGTCACACACCAGCAGCCGGCACACAGAAGAGATCTCTCGGATGGGAGCTGGAAAGCCTGGGTCCCGATTCTTCTTCTGCAGAATGGTGCTTCTTCAGTCAAATTGGTAGAAGGCTGCCCTGGTTCTCCTGGGGTGTACACACAGGAAGATCTCCTCCATGTGCCAGAGAGAGCAGGAAGCCACGGCAGGGAGGGACAGAGAGGGACTGGCGGCCTCTGCCTGGTCCTGGGCGCCTGCCTCCTTCTTGGGCTCCTAATCACCATGCTTCGTTCTGCAGGGACCCAGCTGCTGGCCTGTGAGCCACCAGAGCCCCTCGTGGCTGGCAGGGGAGAGGCCACCTCAGCTCCCTCTGTCCCATCGGCCTCATCCCCTCAGGGGCACCAGCACAGGAGCAGGGAATAGGGTCTGTGCCAGCCAATCAGGACCCCACAGTCCCCCCAAGCTGGGGCAGCAGCTGCTCACCTCCGGGCAGCCTGCTATATATGCTGCAGGGGCCTGAGAGGGACATCAGGTGGGGGAGCAGGCGTCCCCTGCTCACACCACAAGGAAGCCACGGGGCCACCTCTCCTGGCGGCCCCCTCCATCTTACTGGTTTGCCTTTCCCTGTGGGGGAACTCAGGCAGCCTGGTCAGAAATCCTCTTTCCTCTCTTCCTGGCTAGCACGTCCTTGGCTGAATTGAGTTTCCTCATCTATGAATGGGCTTGGTGACGGAGGTCTCTGTGAGCACTAAACCATGAGTGCTAAGTGCCACCTCATATTTGGCACCTGTTGGCTACTGGGGGAGGGGGCGGTGCTCACAAGGGGTGTGGCTTGTGAATGGACCCTTACCCAGACAAACTCGAGCCTCTGGTCCTAGGAAGACAAACATGAAATGTCCCAAGCAGGGGACAGGAGTTCTCCTTGAAGAGCCCCAGGTGGCGCAGAGCCTGCAGCAGGAAGTGAAGCGTGCTGGGGCCAGGGCCAGCCTGTGGCGCTGCTCAGGTCCAAGGCAGAAGACAGGAGCAGGGTGGCTGGTGGACCTCCAGGCCCCTCCTGGGAGAGAGGCATCTGCTGGGGCCTCAGAAGCTGGAGGGCCTGGGGCTCGGGGAAGAGGCCACTTTCCTGGGGACTGGCAATGGAGCTGATGCCCACCGGTCACCACTCTTCCTGGCACCAGGCATTTGGGAGACAGTGAGCAAAGCGCCTGGACTTCTAGAAACATGGAGAATCAGAGCAAGTCATGGTGGACCGGGCAAGCTGCCCCGTCCTGTGCCTCTCCAGGCAATGGGGGAGCCAGCGTGGAACTCCTCCTGGTGACAGGAGCTGATCCTGGAGGCTTGGGAGGGTCACCGCCACTGGTCAAGAGGAGTAGGTCTGTTAAGGCAGGGTGCTGGCGAGGACCCCCATGGAGCGGGGGCTGTGGCGTGCACCTTTGGGATGCCACCACAGGGGGAGACCCGGCTCCGGGTCAGCCGCTCACTCTCCAGCCTCCCAGGGGAGGAGCTGAATTGTGGAGTTGGATAAATTAAGAGGCCATTAAATACGTGGGAAGGACGTGGGCAGCAGTGGGCCTCCGGCAGGAGGGCGCTAGGGCTTCTTCCTGAGGTAGTTAGAGGGGATCCAGCCCTCCCAGGAAGGGGCCCCGCTGACGGCCTGGCACAGCCACCAGCCACTGCTGCTCTTCTCCCGGACTTCGAACACCGTCCCTTCCTGGAAGCTGCCCGTGTCTTCGTCTCCTTCAAAGTTGGCCACGGCCACGTACAAAGAGTCCTTCAGGCCGTCGATGTCGGGCAAGGAGGCCGCAGCTGCCCTCTCTCTGTGGTCCTCTGCTTTGCCAGCTGCCCGCGGCCCCAGCCCGCCTTTGCCCCCAGAGGAATTGGAGAGGAAAGGTTTGGCCTTTGGGGGCACGAGGAGGGCACGGCCGGGGGCAGCAGCCGCCCTGCTTTCGCTGGCTTCCTGCTGTGGCCCTCTGATCTCCGGGAGGGGTCTGGAGGAAGACGAGGAGGAGCCTTTCTTGGGGGGCGGTGGTCTCCGGGGTGGGACCACAGGTCTCTGCTGGGTCGCCTCTTGGACAGGGACGGGCACATTCTTGGGCCCAGGATCGGTGGTCTTGGCTGGCCGCAGGGGGGCTCTGCAGGACAGCTCCTTTGGGCTGAGTCCGTCCTGTCTGCCAGGCCTATCCTGGGCACGGCCAGGTCCCTCCCCACCTGGAAGGAAGCTTCGGCTGAAGGCCATGTCTTGGCCCCCAGCAGCCAGGGCACTCTCCCCGTCCAGTGAGGATTTCTCCTGGGACTTGGCAGGCCTGAGCTTACTCCTAAGGTTGCAGATATCCACTTGGTCTCCGCCCTGAGGTGGCTCTGTCTTAGGGCAAGGAGCTGGTTTGGGCCTGACCTGAGGTTTGGACTTCAGGAATGGATTCTGGGGGACGGCTTCTGGCTTCTCCTCGGGCTCAGCCTTGGACTTGGAGACGGGCCGGAGGTTGGGCTTCCTCACTTCCTTGGCCAAGACCTTGTGGCCGCACTCCAGCCCCATGTCATTCTTCAGCTGGAATAACTTGCTTTTCTCAGGTTTGGGCTCTGGCTTCCTGCCGTCCCGGGCCGGGGAGTGCTTGGCCGGAATCATTGGCAGGATCATGCCAGGAGGCTTCGGCGAGGAGCCGCGGAGCTGCTCCAGCCTCTGCCGCTCCCTCTCCAGCAGCTCCCCCTCCGACTTGATCATGGACTCCTTCCGCGGAGGGAGGCTGGGCTTCTCCTCCAGGCCAGGGTCTGAGATCTCCTCGTAGCCTGCCGATGAGGATGCGTCTGTGGACGCCTTCCTCAGGGCCTCCTTCCCACCCTTCCAGTCTTTGCACCAGGACATCCCAGAGTCGAGGGCACCGTGCGGGGTATCAGGCAGGGGCCGGGAGGGGCCCATGGCTTCGCTGCCCACGTTGTTCTCCACTGCCGCTGCGTCCCCCAGCCGGAGCTGGGCCACCTCGTGGGGCAGGGGAGCCAGGAAGTTGGGTCTCGAGGCATTGCTGGTCTTCTTGTACTTGTCGATGAAGGTTGCTGGGGCCCACCCTTCCTTGTCTTCGATCTGAATGTACCACCAGCCGCTCAGATTCTTCTCGATCACCTGTAAGGGGGACAGAGGTTAGCACGGTGGCAGTGTGACATGAGGGCAGGCAGATCAGAATGGTCTGGAAGAACCCACACGCCACCCAGCACTGGCAGCTGTGCCTTTGAACTCTGCAGGTTCTCCTAAAGGCCTATGGATCCATTCCCCTGCCTTAGCACATCTTACAGAGGGCAGGTTCTCATCCAATATGATTTGTGTGTGTGTTTTTGAGACAGGGTCTCGCCTTGTTGCCCAGTCCACCTTGGGACTCTGAGCTCTAGCCGTCCTCCCATCTCAGCCTCCCCAGTAGCCGGGGTTATACTCGTGTGCCACCACACCTAGCGGGTTCTTATACAATTTTGGATTCCTCCAAAAACAGTCACTGAGATCTGGACTTGAGTGCAGGTAGTTAATTTGAGAGGGAAGCCTAGGGCCTTCAAGTAGGGAAGTGGAGCAGGGGAGAGGGGAGGTCAACTGGGGCGTGAGCCACCAAGGACCACCTGAAGGTCCTGCAGACAGTGCTCAGAAGGGTCCCTCGGGGGTGGGGCATTGATCTGTGGCCACCAGCATCTCCCAACAAGGGCATCAACTCCCCTGCCGTCTGGGAGGTGGGACGCTGCCAGCCTGCAGGGACATGTCACAAAGAGCCCAAATTACCCTGATCCCATTTCCTTGGTTGAGCACCGGATGAAGTAGTCACCCAGTGGCTCAAGGACACCCTCACGCTATACCCAGGGTGCCGAGGCTGATGGAGTCAGCAGGCTCCTCCCTGTCCAGCCTCCTTGGCACCCACACACCCACCGACTGCAGCGGTGGCTGGAATCACCCACAGCCTGAAAGATAGTGGGTTTCTTGGTTCTTTTTGGTGCAGGATCAGATGGCTGGATTCACATGGGTGAAGGTGCACAGCCCAGAGACTATGGCTAAACTGTGCTACAATATCCACACGTTGAAGCCTTAACCTACCCAGTATATCCGAACGTCACTGTACTTGGGCGGGGTCTTTAAGGAGGTAACTAAGTGACAACGGGAGGCCCAAGTCCAAAGTGACTGATGTCTTCATAGGGGGAGAGGATTCGGAAACAGAGACTGGGGGCCCACCACACAAGGACACAGGGAGCCATCCAGAGCCCAGCAGGGAGGTCTCAGGAGAAGCCAGACCTGCTGACACCTCGATCCTGGACTTCAGCCTCCAGAACTGTGAGAAGCAAACCACTGCTGTGTAACCCGCCTGCCTGTGGCGCTGTGTCCAGCAACCCCAGCAGACGAACACGCTGCCCTCCCTGGCAGAACGTGACAGGAGGTCTGACTATGCGTTCAGCTCCCTGTGATACGGGGACTGTCGTCCTATTGAGGAGGCAGGCAGGCGGGCTCCAGAGCCAGACCCTGTGGAGGAGCCAGGCCTGGGTGAGAGGCTGCCGGGGGCAGAGGACTGTGGCCATGGTTCTGCTGCTGCGGTGCGGAGGCCTAGCTGGAAAGGGATGGCACCAACAGACGGAGCCAGGAGGCTGGGCCTGCCCGTGGTCCTGAGGTCAGTTTTAGCTCATGGCCTGCTTCCCAAATGGCCTGGGCAAGCCTCGTGCCCCAGATTCCAACCCGAGCCGGGATAATGATGAAAACAGCAACATCCACCTGGGAACTCCACTCACAGCCGTACCAGCACCGCAGGCAGGCGCCCGGCAAGTGCTGGCAGCCAGTGTGGTCCGTCCTTCAGTTGGAGCGGAGGTCCTTGGGAAAAAGCAGGCGGCACTGGACAAGCACAGGATGAGCGCTGTGAGCGCTGACCACGAGGGCAGCGCTGGGCACAGGGTCCTCATCAGCACTCGCGTGAACCCACAGTGCCAAGATCAAGTCCCACACCCGAGGCAGCAGAAACAGGACCACAGACTGTGCACCAAGGAGGATCTGTTACGCTTCTGCTCTGCGCACAGGATTGTGGCACAGAGACCTGGTTCCAACCCAGGCTCCGCCACTTACTAGCTGTGTAACCTTGGGGATCCACTTACCCAGCTCCTCTGAGGCTCATCTGTAAAAGGGGCTGATGATTATGACCTCGCAGGACTTCTGTAAAGGTTCATTATCAAGTCAGTTGACAAGATACATGCACTGAAGAGGCACGTGTATCATCATCACATCGTCACCACCGTCACTGTCATGATCATCATCACTACTGCGGTCATCATCATAACCACCTCTATCACCACCACCACCACCACCACCAACATCGTCATCGCCACCATCATCACCACCACCACCATCACCATCGCCACCACTGTTATCATTGTCACCGTCACTAATATCACCACCACTGTCACCATCACCATCACCAATATCATCATCATCATCACCATCACTGACATCATCCCTACCACCACCACCACCTCATCATTGTCACCACCACCACCATGACCATCATCACTACCACCACATCACCATCACCACCATTGTTATGATCATAACCATCACTAACATCACTAGCACTATCACCACCACCACGACCATCAACATCACCACGACCACTGACATCAACCCCCATCACTGTCACCACCACCATGACCATCATCATCATCACCACCACTGACACCACCCCCCACCTGATCACTGTCACCACCACCGTGGTCACCATCATCACCGTAAACCACGCCCCCGGCAGCCTGGCCGAGGAGCCCAGCTGTTGCGGCAGCCCTACTGCTAGCAAGCTGTGGCTCCGTGAAGACATCTTGAAGACTCTGGTGATTGTGAAGTGAACCAGGAGGCAAAAATGGGAAGGGAGAACAGAGCATGTGGGATTTATCAGAAGGAAAGAGCTCTGCCTAAGCCACCATCTTCAGACCACTCCTTCCCACCACGTCCCTCAGGTCACCTCTGGCGGGGCCTGATGTCATGGGGAGTAGGGCAGAGGCTCGAGGCTGAGTTGGAGGGCGCTTGCTGGGGAGGACGGCTGTGCATGAGGCGTTCGCTGGTCAGCGCCAGTGAAGGTGGGGAGGAGAGCCAGAGGGAACAGGTGTGGTCTGCTCGGAGGCCCAACCAGCCTCAGCGAGGGCAGACGAGACGCCCGGGGCTGGGCCCTCTGTTGCTCTTGTGTGCCTGGAGCTGAGCCTCTTTCTGGGAACAGCAGCCTCGAGTTCCCTGGGCTTCTTGTCCTACCCAAGGTCCAGGAGTGGGAAGGCCAGTGGAATGGCCGGAACCCTGGCCCTAGGGACCCCTGGGCTTGCTGAGTGGGCAGGCTGGAGCTGGGGCGCTGGGGCCATCTTCCCTGCTCCTGGGAATGGTCTGGATGGACTGGGCTTGGAGGACAGTGGCGACAAGCAGAGACAAAGCCCCGCCCACACCAGGCACCTCTGCCAGCCAGGTCTGAAGCAGACCTACAGCTCCTGTGTGGTGATGGTGACCGTGTTGTGGCCATGGTGATGGTGACGGTGAGGACCCCTGCTCGGGCTGCCTGAGCACACTGGCACCTCAAAGCAGAATTCCTCCCAGTATGCTGAAAACCGAGCTTTCAGAAGCCAGTGTCAACTTGCTCACGTCCTGCCTCTGTCCCCGACTTCTCCTGCCTTTCTCCACAGCCGAGCTCCTAGAGCGTCCTGCGACCAGTGTCCCCATTCCTTCGCCTCCCGGTGCTTCCCACCCCTGTGATCAGGCTGATGCTCCCACCTCTCCACTGGGTACTTCCTTCCTGTGTCACAAACACACTGTCAATCACCTGCTCCTTCAAGTGGAAGCCACAGCTTCCGTTTGCCATCATAGGTCACTTTCCTCTTCAAACACGATGTCCAACCCCCCTGGACAGCTCCACGGGGTACCCTCAGGCTGCTCGGCTTCCTCACGCTCAGCTCCAGCCACATAATGTTCCCTCCCAGCCCCATCTCCACCGAGTCCCACGGACATGACATCTTGATGTCCCTTACATTTCACATGGAGGCACTAGGTACACATGTGCATAATTAATGATGATATCGGGGCAGATTTTCTGTTAAAACAGAACTCAGGATTCCTCCAAATTCAATCCCTCTATCTCTTGACTCAAATAAGAGCAAAGTGAAATCACAGAAGGGATCAAGAATCTTTACTTTAGCCAGGTGCGGTGGCCCACGTCTGTAATCCCAGAGGCTCGGGAGGCTGAGACAGGAGGATCTCAAGTTCAAAGCCAGCCTCAGCAACAGTGAGGCGCTAAGCAACTCAGTAAGACCCTGTCTCTAACTAAAATATGAAATAGGCTGAGGATGTGGCTCAGTGGTCCTCTGAGAGCATGTGGCACACGCATCCACCTGTGTGAAGTGTCCAGGCAGGCCACCCGCAGACGGCAGGCCAGGGCTGCAGGTGGGGGTGCCGGGTGTTCTGCAGTGACTCTGACTCTAGTGGCTGACTCACCTCGACCTTTAGGCCGGCCTGGAAGCTGATGCCGTCGGGGATGGTGGTCTGGAACTCGGCGATGGTGTAGTACTCCTCCTCCACGTGGGGCGGGACGGGCGGCTTGGGCAGGTTGAGACCCCGAGGCTGGGAGGACACACACAGGGCTCATTTCAGGGGGAACAAGCACCACAACATTACTGGGGTGAGAAGAGGGGCCTGGAACACGTGGTCACCATGGAAGGTGCTGGTGGACCGACTTAATTCTGACGGACACACGGAGGACACCACTGGCATCTCCCAGTGAGTTCTCACTGACCCTCCAACCTCGGAGATGAGTGGACACACACGGCATCTGGCTGCACCATGAAAGCGTGGGGCAGGACAAGGTCTGAGGTGAAGTGGCCGCAGGGCCCGGGAAGAACAGGCTTGCGGGCCAGGCTATCTGGGTGGGAAAAACTGGTGACAGTGTGGCCCTGGGCAGTGGTCTCCCCTCTGAGCCTCAGTTTGGCCTCAGGCAGAGGGAACATGGAAGGTCTCAGCCTGGTGGCCGGCTGCAAGGGTTACACCGGTCACCACAGTGAGTGGCCAGTGCACTGCATGGTGCTCAGTGAATGGCAGGCCTTCCAAAACAGGACAGCAGCTCACGGCACGGTGGGACAACCCCTATCCAAAACGCGTGGGCCCAGGAGAGCTTTGGGTTAGGATCACCAGCACCACATAACGGGAAGTCTTGGGGACCCAAGTCCAAGCGTGAAATTCTCTCATGCGTGTTTTGCATCCACAGAACCTGACGATGGCGTTAGACTATATTTTTAGTGTGCCTGCGTTTTGAAAGCAGCCTGGCAGGTGAGGTCAGGTGTGGAATTTTCCGTAGTGTGTCATCTTGGTGCTTAAAAAGTTTGATTTTGGATATTCAGAGAAGGGAGGCTCCACCTGTTAACAAGGCAGCTGGAGAACCCCAGACGTGGAGCAGGACATCAGAACGGCACCACAGATGCCATCCCTGAGCCTCCTCAGCCTGGGCCTGGGCAGAGGATCTGGAGAAGTGGGGCGAGAGCAGGACACAGAGGCAGAGGACACTGGGCCGATGGCTTCCCTGCCTGGACCCGTCTTTCCACCTGCAGAGGGGACAGTGATCTGCACTGCCTGCTTCACGAGGCTGTTGCGTGGACAGGAAGAGAGCTCTGGACAGGGCAAGGGCCTGGGAGACCTGCGGCATCCCTGATGACCACAGACCAGGGTCCACTTACGATGGTCATGTCCCGGCGAGGAGGGGGTCTCTGCCTCATCTTTGGTGATCCTGTGGAGAAGAGACATATTTCCATCATGGCAGAGCTCCGTGTGTGAAGTTCCTGACGTGGACACCAGGAGGGGCCAGCTGTCCTGCAGAGGGTGGGGCGCAAGCTCCGTACCAGTCAGCTTGCTGCCGAGACCCTCCCGGGAGAGAAGGGCTGTCTGCGCTCTTCCCTGGGTGGCTCAGGACCCTGTCAGTGTGGCACTGCCTGGATCTTTTCCACTCAGGAACCAAAGGAGACAGAGTATGTCCTCAAGCAACAGAGAGCTTTCCAGCAAGGGCAAGAAGTGCAGGCTTCAGAGCCACGTGGAGAAGGGTCCCGGCCTGGCTCCAAGGCTCGAGGGCCTCCAGCACAGGACAAATGGGTGACTGGACTCTCTGGACCACGAGGCTGTGTCCTGTGGAACAGGCACAGCATGCACCTCCTGGGCAGGGGACGTAAACATCGCCAAGGCTCTTGGCCAGCGGTGGGCACGCAACAGGTGTTGCTGGGCTTGACTCGTGGCCAGGGGAAGCCCAGACTGAGCGATGCCCCAGGTGAGCACAGCTGAACACACCTGCGCTTGGGGGCCTCACCCTGGAGCCAGGCTGCCCAGCTCTGGGACTCGGGGTCCACAAGAAGACCACTCTGGTCAGGGGGAAAGTCACTCACTCTGCCGGACATCGCCATCGGGCGCCATGCGGCCTTCGGTGCGGCCGTCCCTCTGGTTGTTGAGCAGTTCCTTCTCCCTGGCCACTGCGCTCTGCTGCCGGGAGACGCCGTCCAGGTCGAGGGTGCCCGAGGGGGCAGACGAGCCGGGGCCCAGCTTCGGGGGCAAGGGCTCCCCGCTGGTCTTCTTCAGGTAGGAGGCGGGGGCCCAGCCCTCTTTGCCTTGGTACCTAGGAGGAGGAGGAAGGGAATGTGGTCAGGCCCATGGGAGGTCACCAGGCTCCTGCTGAGAGTCACTCTCAGGCCCCAGTGGGTAGGAACAACAGGCCGGGCTGCCCGGGGCCAGGCCTTCCGATGACACTGAGCCCTCTGCCAGGCACTGCAGACCCTTCCAACGGGGCCTCTGATGGCCTCACACAGCAGCCTCCAGGCCACTGCTCTGCCCAGCTGCAGTCTCCTAAACGCCCCGAGCCTCTGACCCCGGTGCATACTGCCCTTGGTGATCCTTGACTGTCCCTTTCCTTCCTGGCTCTGCTCGATTCCATTCCTCACGAGAGCCTCTCCCACCCTCCTGGGGAGGAGGCCCACCTCCACGCTGCCCTCATGTCTCCGGCAGGCTCTGCCATCCCAGCGCCATGACACGCCGTGGCACCACCAGTTGGAATGAAGTGCTGGGGAGGGCACGGTAAGTTAAGTCCACACTGGTGCCTGGGTGTGTGAGCTGAGGGGGAACAGGAGGACGGCAGACATGCCAGTGGGCATGGTGCTGAGGGAACCGCCACAGACCTGTCACCACCACTGTGACGGCTTCACAGTGGTCCCCACGCAACCCTGCAGTGAGGACGACAGCGTGGCAAGGAGGCTGGCCTCGTGGGCACTCTCCTGGCAGCCTCGCCCTCGCACCACCCGGGGGCAGGGAGGCAGGCTGAGCGCACCCCCCCCCCCCCCCCCCCCCCCCGTGACATGCTCCAGAGTCTGAAGCCTAAATGTCTACACCTGCCCTCAGGTGATGGAGGAGTGCAGTGGAGATGCAGGTGCACCCAAAATACCGGACGAAATCTCACGGCTCTGTGAACAGGTGCCTCTGAGATGAGAACGAGTTCTGTGCTCAGACTCGGGTGTGTCCCTGAGTCACCTCAGTCCGCACGTGCCACTATTCCAAAACTCAAACCTCTGAAATCCTCCACACGCCCGGCGCCGAGCACTAGGATGGGGTCTGTTTACAGACGGAGGCCGAGTGCCGAGGGGAGAAGCACCCAGCCGACGTCGCGGGCAAGCCTGGCAGGTGGGCATCCAGACCCCTTAGCTGCTGCCTCTTCCCGACAGCCCTGTGCTGCTGCAGAGCTCGGCCCCACCCAGGCTGCTTCACCTTGGGTGAGATGCCTGTCCAGGGGGTGAGGAGCCGGCCTGGGACAGCTGCCACTCAACTATGGGCTGCTCGGGTCCCGGACGGAGCAGCTCACGGCCCCCAGACAGAACGCACCAAGTACAGTGGCCACTCAGTCCTCTGCGCGGCAGGGCTGAGATCAACAGCCATGACCGGAGGGGGCCTCCTGGACAGAGGTGTGCCGGGGCAGCCGCTGGGTGCACACTCCTTCTGGACTCCATGTTTAGTGACTTCACGCCGTTAGCTTGAAATTGGCCAGAGTGGAAGTAGCCACACTGTGGAAACTGTCCAGCATCACAGCTCGGAGCACGTGGGCTCGGCGTTGGCCAGCACCCACAGAGGGGGCAGCCAGCCATGCCTCTGAGAAAGCAGAACAGACCCGACAGACCAGACGGCCAGTGGGAGGCCGCCCTCCTGTCAAGAGCCACTTAGAGGGTCACAGCCCTGGGTTCAATGAGAACAGGCCTCCACGACCACAGGCCACCAGGAGGTGGCAGGCCACTGCTCAGCGTCCCTCAGCCTTTGAGTATTCTGAGAAGGAATAAAACTTGACCTAATTGGTCCACATCAGGCTGCACATGATCCACGTCCTCAGCTGCAGACAGGTCGTCACGCAGGGACAAAAGCTACGGGGAGGAAGCACGCAATCGGAAGCGGGTGGCCAAGGCCCAGGCTTACCCAGGGTCCTTTGAGCCTCAGTCACGGGCTCGGCTGCCCTGTCGGCCATCCTACCATAACCTCCTGGGAGACCAGGTGCAACCCAGTGGCTCTTGAGTGCCAGCCCCCTGGCTCCAGGATGACTGGCTTCCCAGCACGGTGACAGGAACCGGGGATGTGCCCAGCGGCCCCAGTGCTGTGCGAAGCCCACCAGGAGGTGCAGCCGCCACGCACCATGCAGCCCCCTGCTCCCAGGGCCACCAGCAAGAGAAAACGGGGACTCCAGAGATGGTGCAAACAGAGGTGCCCGGGGCTCAGCGAGCCTGGCGTGGAGGCACTGAGAGCAGCGAGCACAGGGACACGGTGGCCAGCACAACAGGTGTCTGTGACCTTTGCCAAGTACCGTGGAGGCCCACGGCCATGCTGCACTTTTACAGGAATGGCCAAGGCACAGCGCATCACTACCATGTCAGGGTCACAGCGCCACCAGGCGGCCATCAGGGTCACAGCACCACCAGAGGATGGGACCTCCACTGAAAGCTGCAGGGTGCTCCTCCTGGTGTCCCTGTGGTCTCCACTGTCCTTGCAACCCTGCTGTGTGGCTTGTGACCACACATCCTGACACTGTCCTCCTCACTCCCTCATGTCTCAGCTCTGAGGTCCCCTCCCTCAGGAAGCCCCTGAGCGGGGGAGCACCCCCTCTCTGCACCCCAGCGCCCCCCACGTCCCTCCAGCACTCTGGCAGCCTCGCCGCCCTGCTCTGTGGTGACTGTCCCCACTCGCTCTTGCTGGGGAAACAGTGGGGCTTGTTCGGCTCCACCGCAGGCTAAGGAAGTGCCCGGGTGCAGCCTCCCGCCCTGCAGCTGGATCTGGGGATAAATGAAACCAGAGGCCTGAGGAGGGTGACCATGGTGCGGGGTTTGCACCACATGGTCTCAGTGGGGCTGCAGCAGGCGACTACTCACATGGGCAGCCTCAGCTTCCGGTCACTCATCACAGAACATCTGGAGATGGAAACCAGTCTTGCTTAACAGGGCTCCCGCTGACTGGCTCCATGTGTTTGGAGAAGGCAATTTTGCTTATTAAGGGTTTTTAGGGAAGGACGTGGGTAGGGAAGGAGGCCAACGGCACCGAGAAGCGTCCTTCCACAGCCCAGGCAGAAACTTCCCTCATCTGCAATCCCTTACAGACCTGGAGGCTGGAGCCTGCATGACCCTGAAACCGCCCACGACAGCGGGAGCCAGCGGCGGTACCTGATCTTCCACCAGCCCTCCAGGTTTTTCTGGATGACTTCCACCATGGCCCCTCTCTCCAGGTTCATCTCATCCTGGTCGCGGGCTGTGTATGGGTAGATGACCGTGTACTTCTCCTCTGCAGGGAGAAAGGACATCGGGTGAGAAACAGACTAAGTGTCCCAGGACTCTGATCCCTGGGGTGACGCGGAGGCAGACTTGGCCTCACCTGCTGTGGTTCCCAAGGTGCCAGCAGCATCAGGACCCAGGACCCAGGACCCAGGGCAGGTCCAGTCCCTTGAAAGCACCAGCAGCACTTCCCCCCTCCTTTCCCAGGCCTGTCCTTCAAGGTCAGTGTCCTCAACCACCTCATGCAATATTCCAGCTCGTGGCATCCGCGTCCCCGTCCTCAGGCTGATGGCCCGTCCAGGGACGGCTTTCTAACGCGCACACACTGCGCATCCTGTCCTGCGTCTGTGAGCTCCGCTGGACTGTGAACCCAGGAGCCGAGCTGTGTCCGCCCCGGCCAGTCCCTCCCCTAGCACTGGGCATGAGCCTGGGATATCGCTGCTCAAGGGTAAAGTAGCCAGCACTCAGTAACTGGACAAGTCCCCAGGCCAGCTGGAGCCACTTTGCTCACACAAGGCTAGTTACACCCTCAGGGCTCCTCGCCTGGGAGAGGGGAGAATTCAGAGATGAGCTGGACTTGGGCAGCAGAAGTTTCAGACTGAAATACCCCCGAGGTGGGGACGGCCAGCCACGTCCATTCCCTAGCTGGCAGCAGGTCTTGACCTTTCACTAACGATGCTCGAGGCCCTGGGTCCCCAGCAGCGGGCAGCCCGGGGCCAGGCTTCAGGGCGCTGCTCACTGCTGCCCAGGCAGGGGCTCCAGAGAGCAAGGCCAGCCCTGGGGCTGAAGTGGAGAGATGTGGATGCCATCCTGGGGCCTGGCAAGGAGAGGGGAGGCTGCCTGCTCCGGTTACAGTTCAGTCACCAGGTGACGGAGCCAGGTGCCAAGGCTGTATGCTGGCGTGGCCTCGGTGACTCTGAGAAACGCTACAAGCCATCGGGGCCACCCCCTGCTGCAGAGGGAGGTGGGAGCACTGGGGTCTGTGTGAGGACCTGGCAGGTGACCTGCTTTGCGGGGGTGCACGGTTCCTCAGCAGTTAGCAGCTCCCAGGCCCACGGAAGCCGAGGCTGGGCGCTGGCCGTGGTCAGCGGAAGGGGGTGCTCAAGGCCGCACAGAGGCTCTGCCTGGTCTGGACTGCAGGGCTGCTGTGTGGGCCCGAGTGTGGGTGCAGTCAGCCCTTTGACCCTGGCCTCCCGGGTCCCCTCACCCTGTGGCTGCATGGCACGGGATTCCCCAGCACCCACGAGGCTCTCTCTGGGACCACGGAGGCCGAGCAATTCCAGACAGGTGCAGTGAAGTCCCTGAAGGAGTGTCATGGGTGCTGAAGTGGCCTGTCTGGCACCCATAGGCCCTCCCCTGGTGGTCTGCTAGCCTCTGCCCATGGGAGGCTGGGGAGGCTGGGGAGGCTGGGGAGGCCAGGCTTCCCACCTCCTGGGTCAGGGAATGGCTAGGTGAGCCCGGCCAGCCTCAGTGCTGCACCCTCCCGCCTCTGTGACTGGTTCAGGGATGCCATGGGACCCAGGTGGGTCAGCAGGACCCAATCCTGGGGCTTGAGTTGAAGGAGAAGCCCTATTTTTGGTGGATGTCCCTGAAGGTGCCTAGAACTACTGTCACCACAGAGAATGGGGCCAACAAGGCAGAGAACAGGGCAGAGAGGTGGCAAGAGTTGCAGGTCCTGAGGACATTCTCAAGCCCCTGGATAAAGCCATGCCTGAAGCTAGCCCTCCGCTGGGCTTTCCAGGGACATGCGTGAATAGACCTTGCTTCTGCCCACCCAACTCAAAAGGCCTGATGGCAGGAGCAGGCTGCGGGGTCAGTGTTACGGTTTTTAAGCTGGGAAAGTTCCGGGCCCGGGGCTGACAGGGCTCGGGCTCCCCCTCCCTGACCCCCATGCCGACACACACACAGGAGGACAGACCAGCGCTTCTCACATGCAACAGGCACGGGCAGTGCCGGGCAGAGGCTCATGCAGATGTCCAGGCACCCAACGGGCAGACAACTCCGCGGTAGGCACCTTGGCGCCAGCTGGAGGAGTACAAGTCCCCCAGCGTCCGGCGGCGGCCCACGGGCCGGGGCAAAGACCAGTACCTCCAGGAGACTGGACGGGCAGCATGTGGAGGGGAGGGCAGAGACAGAGGTGAGAAGAAGGTACCCAAGTGTCCGGGGGCCAAGGGGGCACAAGCCCCTGTTCCCCGAGAGGAATCCTGAGTCAGTGCTGAGGCCCTGGAGTCTCAGGGAGGCCGAGCACCTGCTTATCACCTTGAACTTGAGTGGAGAGGGGACCAGTGGACACGATTCTATCCCTAGCACAAGTGGAGATGGCACCAAGGGAAACCCTTGTGGGAGAGGAGGGAGAACATGGCCTCTCTGCCTCCCTCCCGCTGTGTGACCTGGGGCAAGTGCTCTACCTCCCTGAACCCTTTCCCCGTCTGTTAGGTGGGAGCAGTACTCAGTCCCTCACAGAGGCACGCACACGCTGTATCATGGACTCTCTGAGGGGTTCCAGGTCCCATGTAGTGGACCGCCTTCCTCAGCCTGAGCTGGCTGGCACCTACCACTCGGTGGGCCCCTGAGACACAGAGCAAAGCAACTCTGAGGTGTGCTGGCTGCGGTCTGACTACGTGAAAGCCACGTGCAACCCCTCTTGCTGACCTCTGAGCTGGAGGGCACCACTCCTTTTTCTTACCCTGTTTTTGGCAATACTGAGGACAGAACCCAGGGGCAGTGACCACTGAGCTATAGTCCAGTCTTTTCTATTTTGAGACATGGCCTCGCTAAGTTGCCCAGGCTGGTCTCAAACTTGTGATCCTCCTGTCGCAGGGGTCACAGGTGTGCACTGTCCCTGCCCTGCCCCCTCTTCTGATACATATAGACTTAAGATGGCTCTGTGCTTCCTCCCCGGGGTCCAGGACCAGCTGAGGCACAGGGCATCTGGTCCAGTGCCTGCCCGTGATTACTGTTCCTGCTGCTCTGCATTTAGCATTTCTTTTAATTTTTAAAAACCTCCATGTTATAGATATCACTCTGCCACTATCAGATGAGGAGGCTGAGGCTTAGAGAGGTCAAATGTCCATCTCAAGACCACTCAGTGAGCGTGTGGCACAGCTGAGATTCAGGTCCAGTCTGCCCGGCTCCATGGCACCTGTCTATTGATGCAGGTAAAGGGGGGCTTTGGCTTTAGGAAGCTACTGGGGGAGAGGGAGCCTTAGCCTTGCAGTGTGACAGGTGTCAGGACCCCCGTAGGGAAGGGTGCCGGGGAGACGGAGCATGGGCACTGCCAGGGCCATTTACACCTGCAGAGAGCTGACATCTTTAAGCAGGCGGGGTCAAAGATCTCGAATCCGAGTGTCCTGCCACCAGAACTCCAGAGGCACAGTGAAGGGTGGACCTGGATCAGGCTGGGGCCCTCCTGAGGGTCCATGAAGACGTCAGGCCCAGCTCGGCCACGCTCACCCCAGGGGCTCTCAAAGGCCCCTAGAAAGGATGGACAGCCTCCCGCCCACCCCACAGCGGGCTTCATCCACAGGCTGTCCTTGGGCCGAGCCCGTGGCCTCCTGTGATCCGGGGCAGCAGCTGCCCAGGCTCCCTACCTTCTTCAGGCTGCAGGGAAAACTCATCCTGCCCAGCGTCCTGCCCTTCCAGGCAGGTGGCGGGGACCCAGCCTTGCTCCTCAGCGGTGCTGACGAACCACCAACCTGGGGACGGAGAGCAGAGATGTCAGTGGGCTCAGAATGGGATCGTAGGCGTCCCCCAGCACCTGGGCACTGGCCACAGCACCCCAAGGGTCCAGAGGATGTCCAGTCCTATATACAAGACGGGGCAGTAACAACATGACCAATCACACCTCCTGGTCCCCTTGAGATCACCTCTGCAGGACCTACAAGACCTCTCGTGACCCAAATGCTATGTGAATAGTGGCTCCAGGAACTGTTTAGGGATAGTGACAGGAAGCGGTGTGGACGTGGTCAGTTTCGATGCCTTTTTGCCCTGAACATTGGCTGAATCTGAGGATGGGGGCCAGGGACACGGAGGCCACTGAGCCTCAGCCGCTGCGTTAGTTAAGGCTCAGGGAGGCTGAAGAGCCAGAAATCCTGGAAGGACACGACGGCCCAGATCAGCAGCTCACCGCCAAAAACAGGCCAGAGAGAAGCTTGTTCCTGAGCCTGGGACAGGGAGTGAAGGGGCAGCTCAGGGAGAATGGAGAAGGCTCACCGTGGCCGGGCCCTCACCCCACCGTCTCAGAGCCAGCACCCACCAGCCCAGCACACAGAGGGGGCGAACCCAGGTCCACATCCACAGGCGGTGGCAGGGCAGGGCTGTGTGCCGGGACGTCTGTCACTGGGGCACGGCCTAATGGCTTCTCCAGGACTTGGATTCTGCATTTGTGCATGTCAAGGGATGTCCAGCTGCCAGGGCCACTGCTGGAGAGGCCTCACACCAGAACACAGTCAGCCTCTGCACCTGCCAACTCTGCATCCACAGATTCAACCAACCACCGAACCAAAACTACACGCCTGCGTCTGTGCTGAGCCTGTAGGTGGTGTCCCCCGGCACCTGGACACTGGACCCCTAGGTCCATAAGGACCACGCCCTTCACCGTTGTTCCCTGAACAACTCAAGAGTAAGACATGCCCAGGTGACATGCCAGTCCGCACTATTCTGTCCAAGGGCCTTGGGCACCCATGGAGTGTGGAACCTGTGGGGTGCTGAACCAGTCCCCTGCCATGCTGAGGGGTGACCGTCTGCAGCCCGCTGTCTGCTTGAGGACTGAACATCCACCCCTGTGGATACACCAACCCCCCATCCCGACCCTGCTCCTGTTCCCGGCAGGCCGTCCTTCCTGACTTGACTTGAGCAGGTGGCCCAGGGCTCATGTCATGCTGAACTCCCGAGGGCGTGTCCTGGCCACCCATGTGTTCTGTGCATGTCCAGCCTCAGGAATCAGAGTCACAGGCCTGAGGGCAGCTGGAAGGGTCTGGGACCCCGGCCGGGCTGCCCGGCATCAGGCCGAGGTGAGTGACTGGTCACTTGGAGCCGTGGCTTCTTCAGCTACGATGCAGGGATGACAGGGGGTGACAGGTCCTGGTCCTCACTGTGGCTCCTGACCTGTTGCTTTGCAGGCCTTGGTACTTCCAGTGTTCAGTCCAGAAGGATGCTGGGCCGTCGGGCCCCAGGTGACCCAGAGGCCTCTCTCCACCCTCTTGCCTCCTACCACCCATGGACTGTCCACTGACCAGTCCCTCCTACTGGCCATGTGCTCTGTGACCTACGCTAATGGTAGGTGAGGACAGCTCCACTTTGGAAGGGTCCTGCCCTGTGCCAGGAGTGGGGAAGGCTACACAGGGCGGCCACGGAGACTCTGACCTGGGAGCCTGCGGGGTCCCCACAGGTCAATCAGACCCCTCCACACAGTCCCGTCCTGACAGGGCCAACCGTGTTTCATTCATGCCTGCAGTGAAGTTTCCCCAAGGCCCCAGGGGACAGGGGAGCTCCCTTAGTGAACCCCTGGAGGTTCCTGGAAGGCGGTGCCCTGGAGAGGACCTGCGAGCTCTGCCCTGCCACTGCCTCGCCTGGCCAGTCCCCTCTTCCCATTGTGGGGTCTTTATAATAGACTGGTGAAGCGGGTCCCTGAGTCTGTGAGCCACTTGAGCAGAACAGTCCAACCCCAGGAGGAGGTCTCGGGGACCCCGACTGTAGCTGTCAGTTGGATGCACAGTCGAGACAACCTGGCCCTAGACGTGGTGGGCAGTCACGGTGATGGAGCCCGCAGCCTGCGGGATCTGACACCGTCTCTGGGTGGACAGAATGAACTGGGTCAGAGGACACCCAGTGGGTGTCCACTGCAGGACCGCCTGCTTGCTTGCTGGTGGGAGAAATCCCCACACCTTCTGAGGTCACAGAAGTGACGTGCACTGTGAGCAAGTCACAGGAGAAATCGAGATGAGCTGGGAGCAGCACGTTCCTGGGTCCTGCATTCATGGCCACTTCCTGGGTTGCGTAATTCAGGAGGTCTGGCCAGCAAACGCGGTCCCATGGCTAGCGGTAACGTGATCCAGGGGATGCCAGGAACATCGCCATCCCCTGTTCTTTGGAGCAGGGACAATTCCTAGATTGAGTAGCTGAGGTCTCACACCCAACATGACTAAGGGTAACGTGACCCAGACGCTGGCCACATATGTCTTCCCTTTGCTCCTTGGACCTCAGCTGTCCACGGGGGCATCACAGAGTCTGGCCCCTGATTACATTATCAGCCCTGCCACCATCTGCCACAGCCCCCAGGGAGGACACAGGCCTCTCTGGCCCCTTCCTTCTTCCCGCTCTTTGCCGTCATGATGCAAGGCTGCCCTGAGGCCACAGACACTTTGGGAGCACCTACTGTGGGCCAGGCGCAGGCTCAGGCCCTCTGTCTGCATATCCCCTGAATCCTCACAGAGGTTCTCTGGGGGAGTTTTCTGTATTTTGCAGATGAGGAACCTGATGGCCTGATGAATGAGGCAGGCCGGATAACTGTGAGACGTGGCAGTCAGGAGGAATCATAAGCCAAGTGTCCTGCAGCCCCCTGAGGGCAGCGATGCTGAGGGACACTGAGCCCAGAGCTGTTGGACCCTTCCTGGACTCCCATGGAGGAATCAATGAGCAGATCTCCAGTGTAAGCCCAGCTGTGTCTCCCGGTGCCTGAGGACCAGGAGTGTGCAAGGAACGTGAACCTTAGGACAAATCACTGACACCTGACCCAGTGGGATGCTAGCAAGTGGTGGCCAAGTGGTTACTTGAGCCTTATGATCAATCCTAGGCCTGGGAGGCCTCAGTTGGACCTGGGGAGATGCACCAGCCTGCACTGGTGATTTGTCCCTGAGTTTCCAGGCACTTTCAGGCCAAGGGGCTCACTGACAGTGCAGGGTGGGAGGGAGCTGGCCTATGTCCCTACCTGACTCGTTCTTCTCGATGATGTCCACCACCTGCCCCACACTGAGGCTGATCTCTGAACTCTCCTGCTTCTGGTAGTTGGCCACCACCACATACTGCTCCAGGACCATGGGGTCCACCGAGGTCAGGTCTCCCCCTGTGGACAGGAAATGCAATCAGATGTCACTTCTGGCCACCACCCAAGTGTGAAGGAGCAGGAGCCAGGGGAGTCGGTGGGTCAGCAGGACATTCCAAACGGAGAAGGGAGTTGTCACAGGACTCCTCTCCAGGGCCACCCATCCACGCATCCCTTTATCCATCTGCTCACTCAGCCACCAAAGCTCACCAAGTGCCCATTCTGAACAAGCCCTGGAGGTCCCAAGGTGACTGACACATGGTACCTGCCCCCAAGAAGCTGACGGCCCAGCAGGAGCTCACTGCTAGTGGTTCAAATGTCCTCTCCAAAAGTCAAGTGGAAATGTAACGGCCACTATGACAGTGTCGGGAGGTGGATCCTTAGCAGATAATTAGAATGAACGGAGGTATTTGTCATGGCACCAGGTGAATGACGGGGGACCGGCCAACTCTCTTTTTGCCATGCGATGCCTCTGCCATGTTATGCTGCGGCGAGGCCCCCACCAGGTGCCAGACTGTGATATTGGGCTCCAGAACTTGGGAAATATATTTTCTCTATAAATTACCCAGTCTATGGTTTTGTTATAGCATCTGAACATGGACTAGGACACATTCATTCTTATCCATCCATCCATCCACCATGCCTTCAACCGCCTAGCCGCCCACTGCCATCAAGCCAACATCCGTTCATCATCACCCAACACCTGATTGCCCCAAATTATTCATCTGTTATTAGCTCGTGAAGTCCCCGTGATGTTCCAGATACTCCACTGGGCACCATGGGTACCAAAGTGGATGAGGTAGGTGTGAGTCCAGCCTCTAACCCTCAGGCTGGTTGGAGAGACAGACACACGCAGGACCCAAGGGAGAGGAATTGCTGGAAACCGCCAGGACCCAGGCAGGGGACAACTGGGAAAGGTGATGCTGTACCAAAGGTGGTCAGAGGAGCATCTGAAGGAGGTGACAGAGCGGAGGCCTGGGGAGGACCAGCCACGAGGAGAGGGAGGAGCAGCGCGGGCGAGTCTGCACCAAGTGGGTGAGCGCCAGGGGCTGGGGCCCGCGGCAGTGCTGAGGTCAGCAGGCAGCTTGGACAGGGCCTTGGAGGGCCAAGCTAAGAGGGTTTTGTTTTTTTCACTTTGAAGGAGAAAGGAGATCGAGGGTCGTAAGAAGAGAAGGACAGAAAGCACCCGCTGGCTGCCTCGTGGAGGGCGGAGCCCAGTCTGGCAAGAAAGACAGCAGGAGATTCAATGGAGACCAGGCAGAGGTCAGGCAGGAGGTGACAGTGGCTTTGGACCAGGGCAGTGGCAGTGGGAAGGGAATGGTGTGGAGGGGCCCCAGTGCCCCTGGAGTGGGCAGCCCTGCTCCACGCCAGGACAGAGCCGATAAACACAGGAAAGACACCATAGGATACAGGCGATTTAAACTGAAGGGACACCTGAGTTCAGGGACTCCAAAGAGAGGGGACAGTGGTGTGACTTAGAGCAGCAGGCTCAGCTCTGGGGGAGGACAGCAGGACATTCATGGCCACAGTTCAGATTTAAAATATTCCTATGGTGGGGGAGGGGGACTGTGGCAGTGGCTCAGCACTTGCCTCACACGTGTGAGGCGCTGGGTTCCATCCTCAGCACCACGTAAACATAAATCAACAAAATAAATCTCCACAAATCATGTAGATATCCAGGATCCCTGTTTCCTGTCCAAATGCACCCAGCAGTGGAGTGCCGTGGGAGTCGTGCACCCTGAGCTGATTTTGTGCGTCTCTTTCCAACTCTGGGGGGGGTGGGGCGACATCTTGTTGGCAGCTTGAAATTGGCTATGGCGGCAACTGGCGGAGGCTGCAGAGCTGCGGCGGGGTGTTTGCCAGCACACCACTGGCACCCAGAAGGAGCATGGAAGCCCCCTGTCAGCCCTGTGTGGTGTGAAGTCTGGTGTGGGCCTCCTCTGGCAAAGGGTGCTGCTTCTTGGATATGTGACTGTGTTCCAGCCACTGTCCCCACTGCCTGGGAAATGGAGGCAGAGAGAACCCTGCTACCTGCACCCTGGGTGGAGAAAGCAGGAGGACAGAGGAAGGAGGACAGGGAGCAGATGCAAGATGGAGGGTTAGAAGATGGGATCGGGGCAGCCCCAGAGAAGTCTCTCCCAGCTGCACCCTGCACACCGATGTCCCGACACTGCTGCTCTGGAAGATGGTGCCACCAGCCCTGTGTTTCACTCAAGAAAACAGAGGCTCAGCGTTATGATGTGACTTAGTTGGGTCATGTAGCTGGCTACTGTCAAAGCCAGACTGTGCACCTGGCTCCAAGGCTCTCCAGTGTGGGAGGGCATGGCTAAGAGGTGGGCGAGGAAAGAAAAGATGACAGGGAAGGAAGGATGGCCTGAGGCCTGCTGGCTGTCCTTCCCTGTGAGTTCCCAGGGTCCAGTCAAGCCAAGCCTTAGTTCTTTATGGCTCTCAAAGGTCATCTTCATTACTGGCAGCCCTCTCCTCATCTGCCACCTCCCCAGAGGTCAGGCTAAGGGCTGACTTCTTCTAGCCTCCAGGACAACAGTACTCCCAAGCCAACTGTGCCCCTTGCATAGGGTCCTGAGATCAGGAGTCTTACGGTCTCCACTGACCTCCAGAAGCCACTCAGGTGTTGCATGGAGACACCTCCTTGTGGAGTGTGGCATTGCAGCCAAGCTCTACAATGAATGATAATTGCAGTATCTTGAAGCTGGGATAAGCAGCTAAGTTCCAGGACATGCCAAGTGTGAAATCAGAGGATTCTCAGGTGAGAAATGTCACGTAGTCCAGCAGGAAACAGAACAGAGGGAAGAAGTCAAGAGGAAGAAGATTTGACAGTAGAAGGATGATTTTTATCATTAAGTGCTAAAAATCTTTCTCAAATGGTATAGTGCCTATTTTTTTCCTTTGTGATGACATGTGTTGAGTTTTTAAAATGACAAGTAAAGGCAAAGTGAGATTTTCCTTCCAGAAATTCGCTGTTTTGCTAGGCTTGCTGGAAAAATCCATAAACAAGAGAATACTTAATAAGTAAAGGATAGAACAATCAAGCAGAAAGACACCCCTTAAGCAATCAGAGGATCTTTTAAATGGTGGTGAGAAGATGTTTTTCCTACAGGATGAGCAGAATCCGAAACCACATTAGCCAAAGTCTGCAAGAGCCAGCCAGCCAGTCATGACTGGGAAATGCTGAGAAGATAATCCTCCTCCAATTCAGGGTGCTGGCTCAGAAATCTCAGGGAGTTAAGTCTGCTCATCTTAAATCCTTTAAAATTCAGTCAAGAAAGCAGGTTCTAAAATAAGGGCAGTGTTCAAAGGTCAGATAAAACAAAAGGCTGAGCCCAGCGTGGGCTCTTGGTGTGAATGAAGAAAGGTGCCATTTTCCACCCAGCTGGACTATAAATAAATCCACCCCCCCCCATTGCAGGTGACTGATGTCAACAGAGGTTACCACAAATTAGAGCCGTCTCTCTTTTTTCCAGACAATTCCCTTCATCAAGCCTGTTCCAACCTGCACTTTGGTTTTCACAAACCAGAGCTGTCTCTTTCCTCTCTTTCCTCCCTCCCACCAGCTCCTTCCAAGGAAAGTCTCTGCATAGTCAAAGCCAGGAACTCTGTGACCAGCCCAGGAGTGGCAGCCCCTCTTTGCCCTTTTCTAAGAAACAGGTAATTATCCCTGGGGCTCGGGAGCTATTTGCAGCTTTAGCAGGATGCCACAGCCCTGGCCAGTGCCTATTAAACCAGGAAGAAAGTGGGACACTGGTTGAGCAGATGCCAGGGTTCACTCCAGAGGCGAGGCTCCCAAACCTTCCTCCAGTGACGGCCTGGAGCCCTTGAAGCTGACCACAGGCCCCAGACCCAGGAGGAAACTGACCAGTGCCACGGAATCTGGAGCCGCTGCTGATGCTGGGTAGGGGCATCCACACGCTTTCAGTTAGAGCAGGAGTAATACAAATCCACTGGACATGATCCTACTCTAAGTACTGTATGCATATTGTAAATTTTATAAGAATCCCAGAAAACAGTATTATTATGTCCCGTAATAATACATGTGGAAACCGAGGCCCAGGAGAGAAGTCCTCCGTTTCACGCCTGAGATCTCTGCTTGTGCCAAGCCCCACCACCATCCCCACCAACCCCCTCTACCTCCCTGGAGTCCTAGGAAATTAAAGAGGTTAGAATTGTGGACGCGTTGGAGATGCACTGGCTCCAGGTCTGGCATGGGTCAGCCTCTGCAGAGGCAGGGGTGATCTTGGGCGGTGGGAAGACAAAATAGGGCTGCTGCTGATGTCGACTCTGACTCAGCCCAGGCCCGTGGGAACTCAGCGCCTGCCCTGGGCCCCTGCCTTCTCCTTTCCCATGGTTGATTCTGGTGGAAGAATTGTGTTGTCCAAGAAACGGGAAGATTGTTATGCAAGGGCAGAGGTCACTGCAGGGAAAGGGAAGTGAGCACGGGGACCACTGGATACGCGTGAGCCACAGTCCAGACGTGGCTGACTGGAGCAGAGCAGAGGCTGGGCTGGTGCTGCGGTGTCAGAGGGACCAGGTCCAGATTCGCGGCTCACTCCTGCCTGCCAGCTGGGGGCTCGCTGTCCCCTCCGACCAGAATGCCCTTTGCTGGGTGGATGCTTCTGCTCATTCCTTATAATCTAGCGTTCCTCTTTTCTGACCTTCCAGCACCTGAAGAACACTCTGAGCTTACCAAGTTGTTATATAATGGCCTCTAACCCCTGATAGTGTGGCCAGGAAGACGCCTACCCTGTACTCCATAGAGGGATCTCAGGAAAAGACATCATCCCCTTTATAATTTTTTGTAGGGTGAAATGACCCCAAATCTTTCTTTTAGGAAACATGCTGGAGTATCAACCAATCAATCAAGCATCAACCCAGCCATCCAGCCAGCCAGCCAGTCCCCTTCCATTCATATGCATACCCAGTTATTTATCCAACTATTCATCCATCCATCTACCCAGATATCCATCCATCCATCCACCCAGCTACCCCTCCATCCATCCTTCCATCCACATGGCTACATCCCCAGTGTGGAACACAGCCCTTGCACCTGGCAGGTACTTAGTAGGAGTATGCTAAACACTGATTGAAGAGAAGAAAATGAGCAGGGTACGATGGCACATGCCTGTAATCCCAGCTATTCCAGGGGGCTGAGGCAGGAAAATCACAAGTTCGAGGCCACCCTGGGAAACTTAGTGAGACTCTGTCTCAAAAGAAAATAAAAAGGGCTGGGATATAGCTCAGTAGCAGAGTGCCCTTGGTTTCAATTAAAAAGAGAGAGAGAGAGAGAGAGAGAGAGAGAGAGGAGGGGGGAGGAAAATGGAAAATATTCTTACCAGATTTCTTTTTTCCAATGTGCTCCCTGTACAGGAAAGAATGGGGGCAAGAAAGAATAATGAATAATAGTTAGTATTTGTCATGTACTGACAGGAAAATTCTGTTAGAAAATGAATTCTCCATCCCACAACACCGTCAGTGAGTGAATGAAATCCAAGCCAACCCCAGGGACCTACGATTTCTTAAAAACAGAAAGAATCCTCTTAATTATCTCCCTTTACCTGGTAAGTGCTCTGGTGCCCTGAGGACCAGTGTCCCCAAGCATTCGCAGAGTGGAGGGGCCCAGGCAGAGTTGGAGGGCCACACAGTCTGCAACAGCCCTGACACCCCACAGTGCACAGGGCCTGGCACCTGCCTCGCTGGAGGAGCAGAGGCTCTGCCCCTTAGTGGGGAGAGCAGCGCTCACAGTGCATCTCCCTGAAGGTGACCTGGGATGCTGCTGAGGCTGGAATCCACAGGGAATGAGGCTGACGGCTCTTACGTTTGTACATACAGGTCGGAGTTTGTAGGTACAACTGTACTGCAAATACTAAAAATCAGGGTTCACATATCACTTAATATCTCATTAGTGACAATGAGCAGGTTCCAGTGGCTGGGCTGGGCTGGGCGTTGTGGCACCGGTGCCATCATTCAATGATCATGAAATGCAGCCCTCTGCCAGGCCCTGAGTGGCTCGGGCCATTCATTCACTTAAAACTCAGGACAACCCTGGGAAATAAGTGTTACTTTGTCTCTATTTTACAGATCAGGAAAATGGGATCAGGAAAAGTCAGGTAACTGCCCTGAGTCACACAGCTGGTAAGGTAAGCCAGGTCTACCTAAATGTTTTAAAAATTGAGGGACAGCTGGGTGTGGTGGTGCATGCCTGTCATCCCGGCTACCTGGGAAGCTGGAACAGGAGGAGGGCAAGTTCAAGGCCAGCTGGGCAACTTAGTGAGACCCTGTTTCAAAATAAAATCCAAAAAGGGCTGGGACATAGCTCTGTGCATGAGGTCCTGGGTTCAACCTTCAGCACCAAAAATAGGATAAAATCAATATATTAAAAATAAAAAAATTTTGAGGGATAATTAACAAACCATGAAACTCAACCTTGGAAAGTACACAATTGATTTGTTTTTCATGGAGTCAGAGGGTTTTGCAACCATCACTACTATCTCATTCCAAAACACTTTCATCGCCCAAAAAGGAACCCAGACCCAGGTAGCAGTCACCTCCCGTCCCCCTCCTCCCAGCGGTGGCCACCACAGGTCTTCCTGCTGTCTCTGCGGACCTGCCTACTTAGACACTTATTTACACAGAGTCCCGTAACGGTGGCTGTTGTGTCTGGATTCATCTGCTCAGCGTGTCTGCAAGGCTCCCCCATGTCACAGTGTGAAGCAGTTTTCTCGTCCTTCTTATGGCCGGGACATCCCACGTGTGATGGGCCATGTTTGGTCCATCTGTGCTCCGGCTGTGGGCAGCTGGGCTGCTCCCACTCTTTGGCTATCATGAGTCATGCTTCTGTGAGCTTCCATGTTGGGGGAATCCCGAGGGGTGGAAATGCTGGGTCGTGTCATAAATGTAGGGCTAGTTTTTTTGGGTGCCTTCAGACTGTTTCCCATGGCACCCATTTCACCTTCGAACCAGCGACGTGTGAGAGCCCCGATTTCTCTGCATCCTTGACAACAGTGGCCTGGAGAGCAGGGGAACCTTGAGGAGGCTTGGACTGCATCCCCTCCTAACGATCTCATGTATCTTGATACGCTTACTGGCCCTTCGGGGTCTTCTTGGGGGAACGTCCACTCGAGGTCTGACTTGAAAGTCTGGTTTTTAACCACCATGGAATGAAGCTTTGAGGCATCCTCAGGAGGGCAGGGGGCTAAACCGACCCCAGGACCCTGGGCTATGTTCTTAGCATCTGGGAGCAGCCACTGGGCAGGGCCTGGAGGATGCTCTCCGTGAGGAGTAACTCCACAGCTGCGGTGCAGGGAGGGCCAGCTGACCCTCAGGTCCCCGGGTCCTGGTCAGGAAGCTGTGCTGCACTGCTCACTGAAACCTCATGATTTACACACCCATCTGGCAGGAGGAGACGCTGAGGCCCAGGGAGCTAGAGCGCGGCCTGGCCAGTCCCCTGGACGTCCTTGTGGGTAGAGTCCCCCTCGGTGGCTGCTGCAGGATGCACCACGAGGTCCTCCCTGGCTGCTTCTGCATATGCTGCCCCCAGAGCGGTGTTGGGTCCTGTGACCAGGGCCACTCCTACCCTGCTTGTGCCTCCGCTGTCCCAGCTGGAGCAGGCAGTGCGGGTAGCAGGGCCCATGGATCCATGTAGTAGCGGCAGCAGGGCCCTTGAACAGGCACATGGCCTGCTCTGTGGCCTGCCTGGGGGCTCCTGGGGGCTCCCGCGTGCTCATCCCGGCAGCAAAACCCTCCTGTAACAGCACCTTTGTGGCCCTGGTCTCCCCGCCAGACACTGCCAGAGAAGACCCCGTTTCAAGCCCAACTTGGGTCTGAGCTTCCAGCTCCTGACCAGGAGACCAAGCCCGTGTAGTCACCCGGCCACTCGTCACACCCGGAACCAGCAACCGGATCAGCGGAGATGGCCTGTGGGGCCCCAGAGCTGCCCACAACTGCGTTGCCACCTTCCTTCCGTCCCCCAGAGCCTGGCTCAGCCAGTAAGGTGCAACCAGGGTGCTGCACCGTCCTTCCCGGGGGAGGCTGCTGCACCTCACAGCTGGCCACGGGCAGGGGAGCTGCACCCTCTCAGGAGCCCAGTCACCTGCCCAAGGTCGCACAGGTGGAAGGGGTGCCAGACTCTGAATCCTTCTCTCCAGGAAGCCTCCTGGGACCAGGTGACACTCCTTCGGGAAGCCGTTGGCTGCTCTGCCGTCTTCCTCTAGCCCAGTGCTTTGTGTTTTATGTGGGTGTCTCAATGGGTTCCCCTTCCTGAGACCACTCTGAGGTCAAGCTAACCCTTTCTTCCTTCCAGCAGCGCCCACCAGACCTCAGCACAACCCGAGGCTGCGCGGCAGCTGTGGGCAACTTTGGGTAATGAACGCATCTGAATGAGCAGACGCTGTCCACGGTGGCCTCTGTCCACGCTGGTCTCTGCTCAGAGACTTGGGGGAAGGGGTCCTGTCTGGAAGGCCCAGTCAATGAGAGTCCCCTCCTTAGCCTTCCTGGAAGGGCTCCTGTGTGAGATTAGCTTCTCGGGGACCCAACTCCGCCCGGAGACTTGGAGCAAACCAGCAGATCAATCCCTTCCCCATTATGGCTCCGCAGAAGATCCCAGCACCATGGCTGACTCCAGGAGGAAGAGCCGGGGAAGCTGCACTCCTGAGCCAGGCAGTGCTGAGCCGCAGGGACCCAGCCAGCCTCCCTCCTGGCAAAGTCAGCATGGCTGCCCGCCCTGGGAAGAGGTGACGTCGCAGGATCTGAGGAAACCTGAAATCCCAACACTCCTGGTCCCAAGCACTTTGGGGAAGGGCCAGGCCTGCAGTTCCTGAGCACACCTGGCTCTTCGGTGAGGTGAGGGGACCCGACCAGAGTCACTGCCATACAGGGCCACCACCCACTGGGTCCCAACACACTTTGGCAAGTGCTGCAGAGCATTATGGGATTACAGGAACCCTGCCAGCTTCTTTCACCTGCCAAAGGGGACCAGTATGACCCTCACAGTGACTTCGAGGCCCCCTGAGGCCAGGCTTGCAGGGAAGAATCAGTGAAATCTGGCTGGACATTACTTTCCCCCAGGCTGGCTGGACCAGCAGGGCAGGCGGGGCAGGATGCAGGGGGCTCACAGACCAACTTACTCTTTGGGGGGATTCAGGTCCTCGGGTCTTGTCTCAAAGAACTGCAGCACCTCATCACACTGAGAGATGTAGGGGGGCAGCTGGATCAGGGCCTGCAGAGGAGAGAGGGGGGTCTGAAGGAAGCAGGTGTGACGGGTTGCACACCAGGGTCTTGGGATCACTTGGTGGCCCCAGCCCCAAGGTCCTGACTCAGCAGGTCGGGGGCAGGGCCTGTGCATTTTGTCAAGTGGTGATGCTGGTATTTTGGGTTAAGAAACACACACAGTGTATGTGCATATGTGCCCAGAGGTATAGTGGGAACATCTAGACAAACTGTATGGGCACATTCACACAGTATCCGACCACACCCTGCGTACCAGATTGTAAGAGATGCTGTCACTAACAGTAAGTGGTGACCTCACCACAACCGGCATCTAGACCGCGGGCACTGGATACTGGGTATTCGCTGTGCAGACACCGGGTTGCCTACAGGTGGACATCATGCAGCTTCCAATATGCGTGTGCGTGTGCTGGAACTGCCCGACTGGAGCATTACACAAGGGGCTGCTTCAGAATGTGGACAGAGGCTAGATGGAGGTGTCTAGGCCGACGGGGGGCTGCCTCATCCCGGGTCCCCCACTGGCTACCTCATGTCACTCTGCCACATGAGGACAGGAAGAAGCCTCAAGGACACCTGCCAGGGGGCTGCACGAGGAGGGCACAGCGTGGGACTGGGCATCATCATCCTGTTGTTTTCACCAACAGGTTCCATTCAGTGTGTCACCAGGCATGTCCTGTGGGCCCGGCACTGTGCAAGGTTCTCCGCCACATGGGAGAAAAGTGCAGCGTATGTCCCGTCCATGAAGGATCTGAAACTAAGACCTCCTGATAAGCTGCTCAGTCTAACCGGCACTGACTGAAGCCCCTCTGGCCCAGGTCCTGGATCGGGAAGACGGGGACACAGGTCTGTGTGCAGTGGAGCTGGGGCGTGCACATCTTATCACAGCCCGTGGGGGGGATTGCACACGCATACATGTGATTTAAATTGCACAGATAGCCGCAGGTAGCTTGGGGGTGAGGGTCTCCCAGCATGTGTGAGGCCCTGGGCCCAATTCCCAGTGCCCCTTCCCTCACACATCACAGGTGACCCAGCCAGCCCTGTCACCCTGCAAGTGGTGGCTCTGCAGTGAGGTGGCTGTCTGCTCTGCCCTAGAAGGCCTTGCTCCTTGGTTCCTTTCGTACACCCTGGCCATGATGACAGTCTGGGGTGGGGATGTGTCACTCTGCTGTCTGGGGTGGAGATGTGTCACTCTGCTGTCTGGGGTGGAGACGTGCCAGTGTTTTCTAACATCCCTTAAAAGCCCACCGTCCCACACCCAAGTGCACTACCTGCAGGGGGCCTGGGCGCAGAGGGGCCACTCGGAGAGGGGCTGGAGGTCTCCAACAGGCACCTCACACAGGGCTCGGGGATACTTTGACCCTATGTGATTTTCTCCTCCAATCAGAAATGTTTAGTTGTGCAAGACACAGGGTTGGAACCTGCCATCTTCCCCACTGTGCATTCAGGGACATTAGCACATTCTTATTGTCACACTGCCACCACCTCCTGTCCCCAGAACTCTTCTCATCTTGCAAAACAAAAACTCCAGCCATGGAACAGCAGCATCCCCTACCCCCGCCCTCTGCACCTGCTGTGAATTCCCTGAGGCCCCTCCCTGGAGGGATGCACAGAACCCGTCCTTCTCTGTCCAGTTGATTTCCTTCAGCACATCCACCATCCGGGGTCACCCCTGCTGCAGCATGTGAGATCCTGTCTCCTGGGGCTGCCGCTGCCCCGCTGTCTGTGGATGCCCCGTGCTGCTTCTCACCCATTGATGGACGCTGGGCTGCTGACCCTATGTGGTCAGAGTCACAGGCTCTAATTTTGCCAAATTCCCTTCGTGTGACCTGCCCCAGGTTTAGAGTGGAAAGATGTGAAGTGACAGTGGGCATCTGGCCTGTCACTATCCACTCTTCGTACTTCTCAAGTAGAGGACAATGACTTAAAGGGCTCGCTGATATTTTTATTGGCCATTAAGTAGCTACTCTCTGCAGCCTGTCCCCAGGGCTAACCTGTCCCAGGCTGGAGGCAGAGTCCCAGGACAGGCCCCTCCTACTTCTGAGCCTCCTCCTTGTCCTGGTGCCGGAGACCAGTGTCATTCTCCTGCCCAGGACGAGCTGCTGCCTGTGCCCCGCCCCTTGGGTCTCCCCTTCCTCTGCAGGCCCATGACGAAGGAGCTGATGACATGCTGGAGTGTGGTGTGGCCTCCACGCGCTGAGATCCCTGCTCTCCTGAGGGTGGCTCAGCACCGCTGGCTCCTGAACGCACGGTCTCCCTATGTCACCCTGGGCGGCCGGGGAAGCGGAGACTCTGAGGAGGTGATCTGGACAAGAAGGACGAGGCCTGGCCGATTCCAGCCTCTACCTCAAACCCACAGAGGGCAGACGTGGAGGCTGCATGCCTTCCCTGCGTTCCTCCATAGTGCTGGGCACACCATGACACCAGGCTGGATGAGCAGCATGAGGGGGAGGCCTGGCCCTGGCACGGGGCCTGCTGGAGGGCGGCAGGTGGGTGTGGGGTGTGAGCTCCGAGGTGGGTGTCTGGGCTTGGAGGGTCCCGGGTGCTCTTGTTGGAGAAGGCAGAAGCGCAGGGGGACCAGCGAGGGGTGGGACAGGGAGGCCCATGGAGACTTCCAGACAGCGCTGAGTCTCCTCTGGTCTTGGGCTGTCCTTGGGACGAACAGCCAAACCCAATCTGCACCAGGAAACACACCAAGGCACCAGTGAAAGACAGCGCCACATGTGCAAGGACACCCTCTGGTGTCGTGGGCTGGCTGATCCTCAGACGTGACCTCTGCGCACCGCGAGGCGTCCTGGGCTTGACAGAGCTCCGAGGTTCCAGCCAAAGTGTGCTTGCTTCCAGAAGGAACCCTGTTCCCCACGAATGCGGGGATGAGAGAGAGTCCTGTTTGCTGAGGTCACTGTGGGCAGCCCATGTCACACACATATCCTTCAGAACCGGGCCCTGGGCCTAGGACCCTGAACTGGCCTCTTATCAGCCCGGGATTAGGATTAGCTGGTCCTGTGTCTGCCTCCAGGAACCGTTCATGCCAAGTGGCATCACACAGACGGTGGGTATTTCAACGCTCCCAGGACAGCCCGAGCGGCCAGTGCGCAGGGCAGCCCGCAGCAGAGTCAGATTCTCGTTGTGACTTTTGATGAGCAGAAGTTCTTAAATGTAACGGGGTCAAATAAACCAGTCTTTAGCGGTTGGTACATTTTGCATCTTTGGAAATCCCCCTGTCCCTAGAGATGATGAAGATACTGTCCTGTGTATAAATCCTTTATGGCACTGCCTCTCACTGTCAGGACTTTATAAATGACACCACGTGGGACGCGAGGGAGGTCAGTCCTTGTCACTGCCTTTTCCCACCTGGGTGCCCCTCTACCGAGGAATCCCGTCTTTCCTCGGTGACCCAGAAAGTGGCCTTTGCTGTGTCAGAAGGTGCGTGAGGCCTGTTGCTGGTCCTCAGCTCCAGGCCAGTGTCTCCTCTGCCGGGTGCCAATGTCCTGCCGGGGGAGTGCCTGCCTGGTGGAGCAGGAAGCGCGCTGTGTGCACAAGCAGGGCGAGTTTGGGACACGTAGCCCCATCCACCTGTACCTTTGGGCGCGCCCACGTCTACCGCTGTGAAGTGAGCCCTGGGACCAGACTGGCTTCAGTTGGCTCACAGCGAGTCGCCAGCAGACACCCGAATGCCAGGACCATCCTGCGGAGCCTGGGAAGGACGGCAGATCTGGTGACAAAAGGCATATTTCCACTCCCTCTAGGCGGCCAGCTCCAATCCCTGGATATCTGCTCTCTCTTGCGATTCCTACTGGCAGGGCTGCATATTTCCATGTGGCTCCCGCGACACAAGCCGTCTCTTCTGTGGCTAATCCCCATGATCTCTGGTTCTTCCAGGTACCAGACAGCTGCACACAGCTGTTGCTTCCCCTTATTGCTTAAGGATCTCTCCAGGATGAGGGCTCAAATTTCCCTTCCAACATCCAATCCCCGGAGGCTTGGGCCCCCTGGGTAGGAAGGGAGCCTGACTCTGGAGAGACTGGGCCGGGGAAGCTAGGCTGAGGGGCGACTGCTGCTTCCTAGCTGGGCGAGGCAACCCCACAGGGCCTGAGCAAGGAGGGCTTCTCCAGAGTGGGAACTTCAGGCTTTAGAGGTTTGGAAAAGGACAAAGTGAAGACGTGAATTTTCCTCTGAAAGTTGGAAGGCAGCAAAGACATCCTTGAGGTGGATGACTGTCCCTGTCCCCACCCCCACCCCTTTTTAAGGATACACATGAGAGAGATGAATCTGAATCATCTGTGTCAGTCTTTTTCGTAGTACTATAGCAAAATACCTGAGGCTGGGTACTTTATAAGGTGAAGAGGTTCATTTGGCTCACAATTTTGGTGGCTGGAGGGTCCAAACAGCATGGTGCCAGCATCTTGGCGAGAGCCTGTTGCTGCATCAGGATGTGATAGAGAAGTGGAAAGGAGCCAGCTGTGTGCAGAAGGGGCCCAGCGGGTGGGGTAGCCTCGCTTTGTAACAAGCTGCTCTCAGAGAACTCACCTCCCTTTGAGACCAGCACTCACCCCTTCCTGGGGTCCCCAGGACCTGGTTATCTTGCACCAGGCCCCCTTCTCAAAGGCTTACCCCCTGCACACCAACACACCGGGGACCACCCTTCCAACTCTGGAGTCTCTGGGGGACACACGAACCACCCACGGCCCGACTCTGCTCCCAGCACATGCTGAACATCCCCGCCCCTGCACTTCCTCAGCCACGTGGAAGGTGACCAGCAGGATGTAGGAGTGGCTGTGACCTTCAATGACCTTTCTGATCTCCATCTCCTCTTCTGCACAGTAGTAAAATCTCATCAGCGTTGGTGGAGGGACAAGGTGAGGTCAGGCCCCGCCAAGACAGACCCTCAGGAGTGGTTGTCTGTCCTTCCTCGATGTCCCCTGCTGGGTGGAGGGGCGGTCATTGGTCCCTACCAGGCCCCTTGTTAAATGTTTAAAAAGATTTATTGCAGTATGATTTATAGACCATAAAACATACCCATTATAAATGCACAATCAACTTGGTGACATCTGGTGATGGCAGAGTTGTGCGGTCATCACCTCCACCCAGCCTTAGGGCCTCCTGTTGCCCCAGCCTCTCCTCCAGCCTAATCTGCCCTCCATCTTTACCCTGCCGCCCGGGGCCAGGAGGCCAGGTCTGTTCTGTCCTGCGGATCTGCCTTTGCTGCACATTTCACACCCATGGAACCACACGGTCCGAGTCTCGCCTCCGGCTTCTGCTCAGCCTGGTGCTTGGGTGATCCGTCGGGTTGGGGCGCCCATCACTGCTCTTTGCTGTTTGACACGCGAGCGAGCACATTCTGCGGCACGGACCCCACACTCTTCTGTCCACTCTCCTGCTGACGGGCGTGCAGGCTGCTCCCAGGGTCTGGCTACCACAAGCCGCGGTCGCTACGAGCATTCGCACCTAAGCTTTGCCATTAGGTCTTCATGCTCTGGAGCACATGCCCAGGAGGGGTGGAGGGGCTGCCAAGGGTTTTCCAAAGCGGCTTTTCCTCTCCAGGATGAGGGCTCCAGGGTCTGCGTCCCCACCCACGCCCGCTGCCCTGCTGCTGTGGCCACTGCCCAGGCTGCCCGGCACGGCCTGCTGTTGTCCGCATTGCCCTGATGACTGACCAGACTGGGCTGCGTGGTCTTACAGTCACCCCGATGTCTCTTAGGTAAGAGGAAAGTCTTCTCCCCATTTTAAAACTGGGTTGCCCTTTGCCCTTGAGTTCTTGGTGCATTCTCAGTGTCTCTTACCAGACACTGAGGGCAAGCCTTTCCATTGTCTTGTGGCATCTTTTGAAGCAAAAAAAAAGTTTTAAGTGGATTTGGTGAAGTTCAATTTGATCAATTTTTCTTTTAGGCCTGATACTCTTGCTGTCATATCAAAAAATTCTTTCCCTATCCATGGTCATGGAGGGTTCCTCCTGGGAGCTCTTAGATTTATCTGAGTTGATTTCTGCACGTGGTGGGGGCAGGGTCCAGTTTCCTTATTTCTGACCCTCTCCCCCCCAATCCCCATGGCCTGGGAGGTGACTCACCTGGAGATGGACAGGGCCTCTAAATAGGTGATCTTAGTCATTGAGGATGGCCTGCAGCCCAATGTAACTGGCATCTTTACAAGAAGAAAGATCAGGGCGTGGACAGGTGCAGAGAAAGGTTCCCTGAAGTCACAAGGAGGAGACTAGGCTGTCTGCAGGCCAAAGGGAGCAGCCCTGGGAAGCCCTGCTGCTCCGAATTCCGGCCTCCAGATCCGCGAGGACACGCATTTCTATTGTTCAAGCCACACTGTCTGGGACGCTTTGTTACGCATCCCTAGGAAACTAATGTAAACACAGCTGTCCTAACTGTGTATAAAAAGACTACCGATCCCTTCCCACCAAATCGTCTTGGCATCTTCACTGAATACGGACAGCATACTATTTTGCGTGAGCTCATTTCTGATCCTCAGTGCTGTTGCCCTGATCTATGTGCCACCCCAGTGTCAGTACCAGGCATCTCCAATACTGCAGTGTGTAGGAGCTCTGGAAATGGCCAGCACGGTTCCTCTAACTGCCCTTAAGCATCAGCTTGTCAATGCTAAAAAGAAAAAAAAAAAAAAGCAACACAAAACAAAAACAAACAAACCCTCCTAGGATTTCAAGAGGAATCACACTCGACACAGAGATGCTGAGTCTCCCAATCTATGAATATGGGATGCCTGTCCACTAGTTTGGACCTTCTTTGACTTCTCTTGGCAATGCTTTGTAGTTTCAGTGTAAAATCCTGCACTTCTTTTTGTTAAATGTTATTCCTGAGTATTTTTTTAAACTTTTATTACTTTTTTTTAGTTGTAGGTGAGCACAATACCTTTATTTTACTTCTATGTGTGTGCTGAGGATCGAACCCAGTGCCCCGGCATGCCAGGTGAGTGTTCCACCTCTGAGCCCCAGCCCCAGCCCTGTATTTTATTCTTTCATGAGGCTATTATGAGTGGAATTGTTTTCTTAATTCCATTTCTGGATTGTTCATTTGTAGATCATATAAATGCAAGCGAGTTCTATATGTTCATCTTGTATCCTGATGTCTTACCAGGCTCATTTCCTAGTTGTGTGTTTTGTGCATGGATCTCTTGATTATCTACATAGAGACTCGCACCACCTGTGGGTCATGGCAATTGTACTCCTTTCTTCCAATCCGGTTGCCTTTCCTTCCTTTCTTGTGTGCTTACACTGGCCTTCCCCTCCAGTAGGAGGTGGGGGTGGTGAGGGTGAACATACTCACTTTGTTACCCATCTAAGGTAGAAATCATTCAGCCCTCCATTTTTAAGGCATCTCTTGCTTATGTCTACTCTTAAAGCTATTTAACCTGAAGAAGTGAAAACTCAGAGAAACTACACACATGAAATATAAATATATATTATCCATTAATACATATTATCCATGTTTCATATTATATATACATACATATATATTATATGTATGTATATATATTATATGTATGTGTGTGTGTGTGTACAATATTTCTTTCCTGACCATAGCCTCTAATTAAATGAAATACAACCTAAGGCAGGCACTTGTTTCAAATACTCAAGGGACAGGAAAGCAGTTGTACTACCTGACAGCAGGGCTGGTTGAACAACTTCTCAAACATTCACACACAGTAGAATACTATGCAGTCATTAAAAGTAGGCTGAAGGGGATTTCTATTATATGAGGAAATTCTTATGTCACAAAGTAAACAGATGAAGAGCAGAAAAAAGTATACACACAGGATGGTCTCAACACCACAAAGAGTCACTCACACAAAGGAAAAATGGCACAGACGCATATAAAACCCTTGATAGATTCTTCTGGGCTGAGGGATCATGGGTGATTTTTCCCTCTAGTTACTTTACATTTTCTTCCAATTGTACAAAAATTTTCATAACAAGTATCTTGTAGCCAGAAAAGAAAAACAAACTAAACAGGCCGTGTGCTCTCAGCCTTACCTTGCAGTACTCGTCAATTGGTACCAGGCGCTTGACGGCCACATCCCGGACGTGGCTTCTCCGGAACAGGATCTTGCCTGCAGGAGGGGAGAGTGCGCTGAGCATCAGGCAGCCGTGAGGTGCCACGCAGCCTGGAGGGTGTCCTGGGTGGGCTGTGGGGGCTGCCTGCCTGTGCTGGACCCGGCTTGGTAACCCTGTCAGTGTCCCCAACGCCCCATTGGCAGCTCTGGTACGGGACTGGGGAACGGGTTAACAGGAAGTTTTGAGGAAGTTTTATAAACACATTTTTATCGACACGTGGTAACTATACATGTTTATGGGGGACGGTGTGACATTTCCACACATGCAGACTAGCTGGGGACAGAGCAGGTCCCTGGCCCACTCACCACCCCAGACACCTGCCCTAGGAGTGTGCAAGGTCCTCTCCAACAGTGTTTTTGAGACGTGCAGGTCCTTCTGTACCACAGAACGTGGGGGAAGTCATCTTTGCGGTCCCTGGCTCCCCTAGCCTCTCCCCTCTGCCTCACGGTCTTTGGCCATCTTCCTACTCTGTCCTGCGGACCAGCCTCTCAGCCTCCCTGTCCCTGAGGACACGCAGCACCTGTCTCTCGGGGCCTCACCTCAGCGAGTTTTGATGGAGGGAGGCGGGGGCAGCTGTGAAGGAGGCCCCCACCTGCGCTGACCGAGGACCGTGACCTGTGGGCGGGTTCTGGGCAAGCGGCCCAGGGGACAGCCCAGGGGACGGCCCAGGGCTGCACAACCTGACAGTCCAGCCCCTCCCCACCATCCCCCTCTGTCCTGCCTGCTGGTCCCCAAACTTCACACTCTTTCATGCTCCTGTGCCTCCCTGGCACACCCGTGCCTCCTGGTAAGAATTCAGGAGGAAATGCGTGGAAGGATCCTGAGGGCCAGCCTCCTAGGGACGGGGGGCACGGAGTTGTGGTGGCTTCCTCAGGCCCCCACCCTGCAGAATGTCCAGTACCCTAGGCTCAGACCCAGGCCCAGCCGGGGCCCTCACTGTGACCACCGAGGACCCACTCCCCATCTCACTGGTCCCCGTGGGTGGGACTCTTGCCATCCAGAACCCCTAGGAGTGTCCCCACCTTTGGGAGAAACCAGGATCGTGTGGGGAACCTGCGTGCCAAGTGCCCTCCCGTGTATCTCCAGGCAGGGGGGATACCCCGCCCCAAAGAGTGTGGCTCCATTTTGGCCCACACTGAGGCCCCAGGAGACGGAGAGGGCGGTGACCAGGCCTCTTGCTGACAGCTTGTGCACAGGCTCAGACCCTGACAACCAGCATGGGGCCACTGCTGGCCCCTGGAGAAAAACAAGCTCGTCCCCAGGTCACTGACCACTTAGGAACTCAAGGTGGGGCTGGGGCGGGGGCTCAGCGGCAGAGCGCTTGGCTCGCATGTGTGAGGCCCTGGGCTGGACCCTCAGCACCACATAAAAATGAATGAATAAAATGAAGGTACTGTGTCCATCACAGCTACAAAAAAGAAAAAAAAAAAACAATAAAAAAAACTCAGGGCTGAGGATCTACCCACGGCTCAGGACAGAAACCCCAGGCACCTCCAGGGTTCCCTGGGCGTGTGACACAGGACAAAAGCTCCACTCCAGTCCCAGCAAGGGCATGGGACAGGGCCTTCTGGGGAGGCCACAGGCCCATCCCAGCCTCTGCTGCTGAGGCCTTGAGGAGTGTGGTCCTCTCAGAGCCTCTGTCTCCTCTGTAAGATGGGAAAGCAGCCCTTGTTCTTGGAAGGACAATTGGTCTAGGACACTCCCGGCACAGGGCTGGCCCTTAGTAGGTGCACACAAAGGACTCATGACTGGTTTTTCTTTCTTTGAAGCAATCTGGAGGACGCTGCGTGGCACTTTGCAATTAAGAGCATGTGATCTTCCTCTGCCCCCGACTGCTTGAGCCCAGCCTCTGGCAGGCCAAGGGCCCTTCCCCACAGCAGAGTGGTGTGCAGGACAGGGGCAGGGCCCTGCGGCCAGAGCCTCCTGGGCCAGCACCTCCCTGGTAGAGGGCCTGAGGGGCAGCGGCCCCTGCTGCGTCCGTGTAGCTCTGGGAGGAGGGGCGCCTGCTGCCTCGCTGGCGTGGAAAGGGTGTTCTGGGGCGAGGACTCCGCTCGCTCACTTGGTGGAGGAAGCCAAACTGTACTTCTTATTTTTCAAGCGGCCTCCTCTGCCAAGTTGGCTCTGGGCTCCTGCTGGGATGGAAACCGGGGCTGGCCCCTCCCCCGGACTTTGTGCTCACATGAGACTTGCCTTTGTCCTGCTGACACGGCAGTCTGCACAGAAAGTGACCCCAAGGAGAGGGGACTGTGCTCCCCTGCCCTGGGCCCGGGCCTCTGAGAGGAGCAGGAGATGGGCTCAGAAGGGACGTGCCAGGGTTCTGGGGCCCAAGGGGACCTCTGCAAGCTACAAGGGGTGCCTTGAGCGGGGACAAAGGGGCCAAGTCGTGGAGAGCAGTGTCTTGGCTAATTCTTGGGTGGGACAGGCTTACGTAACCACCAAAGCTCTAGAGCTGGGAGAGGGCCAGCTGGGGGCCAGGCCAGTCCTCTTCTTGGGGAGCTTTTCCAGAGCTGCTTTTGCTTTTCATGCAGGAAAAAAGCGCTGACTCTTTCCTTTCCTTTCCTTTCTTGAAGAAATCCCTGTATTCAGAGCCCAGTTTAACTTGAAAGTCACTTATCCCTCAAGGTCTTGGTCACTTAAGGATAGCCCCAACACAGGCTGCCATAGAACCCCTAAGGAACGTCCCAGGACCCTGTCTACGGGGAACCTACCCCAGCCACGAGTTGAGCCTCGTGAAGCCAAGGCTCAGCCTTAAAGCAGTGGAAACTGAGGCCCAGCGGGCCTGGCCCTGCTCTAAGCCACAGGCTGGAGGCCTGTCTGTCAGATGCGCCTGCTCCGTGGGCTTCCCCAGGGTGGGGTGGGACTAGACGGTGTGAGCTTCAGGCAACGCCGCTCCCAGTAGGGGGCCGGGCAAACCGTCCAGCCCTGTCTCTACACCTGCCCAGGCTGCTGGCCTCTGAAGACCACTGGCTCCCTGGACGGAGGGTCGGGAGGACGGATGCTCATGTGACCCAGTGGCAGTTTCCTCGTCTGAAATAAGAAGGAGACCTATGCAGCCCTTTAGCTGTAACCCCTGTGACTGGGGGGTGACCGCTGCTGACCATCTGTGTGTAGAAACAATCATGAGAGTCAATGACCCCTGGCCAATGTCCCCTGGCCACCTCCATGCATTTACACCTCCTGTCCCATCACTGAAGTCCCTTTATCAGCTCTAACTTGTGAATGAAGAGATAAAACTCAACAGCTGTCACTCAGAGGAGGTGAGGCCCCACGGTGGCCTGTAGCCCTAGCCACTGGGAGGCTGAACACGGAGGAAGGTCTCCTGAGCCCAGGATTTGAGAGCAGCCTGGACAAAACAGGGAAACCTCGTGCCCTTCAAAAAAAAGAGGTAGTGAGTAGGGGGTCCTGGGAGTGGGGCCAGGTGGCCCAAGTGCAGGTGTGACCTCCGTGGCCAGCCAGGCCCACCTGCGTCTGAACCCCAGCTCTGCCCTCTTCTGAGCCTCAGTTTCCTAATCTGTGCTCTGGGCTCAGGAATGCCTGCCCTGCAGGGTGGCTGGGGACTGAAGGTGTCCAGCAACTGGCCCGTCCTGGACAGTCAATAAATGGCGCAAGCCCTCTAGGCGGACAGCGTTCTCCAACTGGCAGACGGGGACGTCGAAGGGATCTGAAGCACAGCAAAGACTTGCTGCCCTGTGGTGGGCCCAACGAGGACAGAGAGACACCGAGGGTCAGCAGACAGCCCACAGGCAAGTGGGATGTGCCACAAGGTGACCGAGGTGGGCCGTGTGTTCCCCAGACCCCAGGTCATGCCTCAGCCCAGCCGACACCTGGACGTTGGCCTCCTAAGGCCCTAAACAGAGAACCCAGGAGCCAGCCTGGACGCCACCTGCTGAGCTGTGAGGGGTGAATGGGGTCGCTCAGGGCTGCTGAGCTGCGTCTGAGATGCGGAGCAGAAAAGAGCCCGGCAGCCAAGCAGGGAGCCGCGCTCCAGGGCAGCGCCATCGGCCATTCCCGTTTGGAGGTGGACGTGAGGCCCAGTCGTGGGTCTAGGAAACGGTGTGTGGGGCCCATGTCCCAGGCACTCTGGTCAGTGGGACAGTGTTCCCTGATGACGGAGGAGGAGCTTGCGAGCCGCCCTGAGAGGCCTGGAGCTGCTCTGTGGCCCCGGCGTCCCCTCCGATGGTGCAGGTGGCCTACCTGGCAGAAAGGGGATGATGCGCTGCTTGGGGTCCTTCTGCCCTCCTTCCATGGGAAACTTGTCCAACATCTGCATCTGAGGGTAGAGAACACCAAACCTCAGACCTCTCGGAGCACAATCCGTGAGCCTCTGACCTTTCAAAGGAATTACGTGAGACCCAGAGTTTGCTCTGTCCAGCTTTTCAGACCCCACGGAGAAGGCCACTCCAGCTGGTCTGGGGCCCCCAAACCATTCTTTACATCCAAGCTGCAGAATGTGAAGGCTCGGGGCTGCAGGACCTTTCTTGGTTTCCCTGGGGCTTCCTGCCCTGGGATTTGAAGGACATGCAAACAGCACCCTCAGAGGCCCCAGAATTTTCAGGGACGGGAATCATCCCGCTTCCTAGAGCGGCCAGGTTGTGTTGAAGAACAAACCACAACAGGACTGGTTAGGTCTATGATCATGTCCGCCGGACCCAAGAGCTGCCCAGTGGCTCAGCAGACAGCATCGGGCCTGGCCGGGCTGGACGTGTGGGCACTGCAGTGAAGACACAGGGTCTGGGGGAGACTGAGCTGTACACTGGTAACTGCAGGTAGTGTTGGAGGCACCATGGGATGGGTGGGGAGAAGCAGGAATGGGGACAGACTGTGACACATGGAAGCCTTTCAGTGCCCTGAGGCGTGAATGTGGATCACCTCACCCAGTATCCCAAACCCAAGGGTCTGCCACTGATTCCCTCTGTGCAAAGGTGGAGATTAATAACTGGTACCTATTTACCATTTTCTGTTTCCCTCTGCCAGGGGGACTGGCCACACTCCTGAGAATGACTTCTCTGCCAGCTGGGGTCCTGAAGGGAGGGTCCAGAGTCCCCAACACCTCTGATGGCCATGTTGCTGGAGTAAGATCCAACAATACGCCCAGTTGTCTCGTGAGGTCACTTGTTGTAGCAGCATATCCTGAGCTATCCTGACTAGTACATGGGTCAAGAAGTCAAAGCAGACGGTGAGGGAGTCCTAAGCCTCCCAAAGTAATGTTTGGCAGGTGAAAAATGTGCCTGTCCTTGCATTTCAAGGAAAAGGTCACTCTGTCTCTCCAGATCTGTCTCTCTCTGATAGAATCAAAGAAGCTTGGAAAAGTCGGGGAGAAATGAGGTTAGTTAATTGCAGGCCTTTTGGAAGGAACAGCAGTTCCCCAGGTGGAACAGAAGGCTCCACTGAGCATTAGCCCTAGCCAGGCATGCACTAGGTCTTCAGGCCCTGGCTGGCCACATGGCTCAGTGGTAGCGTGCTTGCCTAGCATTCGTGAGGTCCTGGGTACGATCCCCAGCACCACACACACTCACACCCACCCACCCACACATACACTCACACACACACGCCCTCATGAAGTCCTCAGGGCACACCCTGAGCATGGACATTAATATCCAGGAAGAAATCTGCCCAGGCAGTGGCCAACAAGGCAGAAGGGCCAGAGATTGACACTCATGTGCCACGGTCACCGCCCCACTCTTGGTGCTATGAGACAGTTATGAAGAAGCTGGTTGGTTTTCTCAGGCTGGGTCCCTGCCCTTCTGAGCTGTTTAACTCCTGGCCCCGGAGAGGTGGCCAGCCTCGGCCTGGCAGGGCATCACAGGGCTGCCGGGAGGTACGGGCTTGGCCAGCAGCCTGGCTCGACACCTCAGCTGTGGGTTTTTCCCTGTGCCAAGGGCGGCATGCAGGGCCTCAGGGGTGCTGGGCAAACCCTCCCAGCCCTGTAGCCTGTGGTTTTACTTGTAGCTTTCAATCACTGGCCCTATTCTGTCCTGCGTGGTGACAGGTAATACTTGGTCCACTGTCCTTCAGAGACTGGTGAGGCCACTCAGGGCCCTGTCTGGAAGAGGCAGGCTTCCTCTCTGGAGTTCAAGAGCTCTTCAACACCAGCACATAGTAGGAACTCAATAAAAATTGGGAGAACCAGATACTGATAGTGGGGGCACTGTAAGGGGGCAGGGATACGGGAATGCTCTGCACTTTCCAGTGGACTTTGCTATGAACCTAAAGCAACTCTAAAACATAAAGTTGATTAATTTTTTAAAAAGGCTAATGAATGATTGCAACAGAGACAAGTTTTGGGGCAGCAGCTTCAAGAGATGTTGCCAAGTAACCCTGATGAATGATATTCAGATCACTCACACAGAATGGTGCTCAGTGACCACTGCTACACTGGGCAGCCATCGACGAGCAACTCACACACGAGTTCATCTGACCTTTGCAGCAAGCCCAGGAAACGGACCCTAGGTCCCAAGTCGCAGGTGAGGGCGAGGGGAGCAGAGAGGGCAGTGGCCTTCCCAGGGTCATGGGGTGCAGCAGGGGTGCAACCGGCCCAGCACCTCTGCCTGAGGCCCATTCACCTTCCCCGAGGTCACTCTGAGGAGGCCTCAGAGGGTCATATGACCACGAAACCCAGCGGAACTGAGGTCAGTTCCAGGCCCTAGCCTGTGGGCAGGGCACGGGGATCCGCTGGCCTCGGGGGCAGGGCCTGCAGACTGTGGGTCCTGCTGCTCTAAGTGCTTCTCCCTCCGCGGATCTGTTTGTGGAGATAGTGCGGAGACACCATCAGGGGAAACGTGTTTTTAAAGAATGCACGGCTCCCTACCCATGCATCCAGATGACCACTCCCAGATTGGGGCTCCCCTGAGTGCCCATCCAGAGTCCCCCCAGGGACTGGTCTTGGGAAGCCACCCTCGGCCTGTTCTGACTCGCTCTGGCCCAGGTGAGTGTGGCTAGGGAGCCAAGGGCTGGCCTCGTCTGCACCCTCCAGCACGTGGCCACTGGCCCCCAGAGCTTCCGAGCACTCGAAAAGCAGCTCTTGCAACAGAAGAGCAGATTTCAAAACGTGCTTCGCTGGCTTGGTCAGCCGCCGCCCAGGAGAAGAGAAGCTGCCAGGGAGCCACACCAAGGCCTGGCTGTGCGTCCAGACGCCACTGCCCAAGGCCATCAGGTCTCTTGCTGTTTCAGAAAGAAGGAATCGCACAGAGGGTGGAAAAAGACGACCATGTGTTGGCTTAGCTCTGCGCCCTCACTAAGGCAGGGACTTCCAGGGGACGAAGACTTCCCTCCAGGGAGCACCGAGGGCTGGTGGCACCTCCCATCTCAGAAGGGCTGTCTGGGAGGAGAGCGCATCTGACTCAAGGAAAGGCGGTTTGGGGACAGATGTGGCCCCAGCGCCTCAGGCTGGTGTTGGCCGGGTCTCTGGGACTCGCCCAGCAGGGCCAAGCTGCCTGCTGAGGAAGAACGGGTCCTGCCAGCCCCATGCCCGCCCCCAGAGCAACAGAAGAAAACCCTCCAAAAGGTGCACTGGGGACTGTCACACTCTTGAGAGCTTGGGACAACTAGGCTCTCAGTCCTGTTCCCAGTGAGACAGGACATGACGCTGGCTGAATGACTGGGGACAGGCCTCTCTGTGCCCAATGGGAGGAAGGCACAGACCAAGAGGCAGCTGCGCCGTGTGATGGATCTGATGCCCTCCAGACAGCTGCACCTGTGCCCTGGCCTGCCCGCTGCCCTGCGGCGTGGCATGGGGGCAGCAGGGGGCTGCAGGGCCTCTCTGGACCCCATGCAGGGACTTCCCCTAGGTGTGCTCCTGCTACAGATGCAGCTGGCGCTCTGCCCCAGAGAGCGCTCCCTGGCAAACAGAGTGACGCAGTGGCTGTGTCCCACCCGCTCTGCAGAAGCCCAGCTCAGACTCCAGCCGCCCTGCTGGGAGTGTCCTACCCACTAGGTGGAGGCCAACTCCCTATCCACTGTCAAGACTGGTTCAGGTTGCACCTCCACCAGGAGGCCAGTCCTCTAAGAAGGCCGCTGATGAGAGGTGTCAAGAGATCACCTGGGAGCACCCTGACCTGGTGAAGGTGGTCAGAGGCCCCCTGGGAGCACCCTGACCTGGCTCTACTGGGGTAATACTTCCCCACTGCACAGAGAGCTTCAGAAAGTAGAAGCTCATCAGGTCCCCGTGCCAGTCCAGGGTCTAGGTCAGCAAATTTTTAGCTGCCTTGTGTGAGGGAGGCCCTGGCTTCACCGATGGTCATGACCTGGGGGTACAACAGACCTCTGACCAACAGAGGTCAAAGGTTACATGGCAAAGGGCAAAGTGGTCCTCACATGTCTAAGGCTTGTTTGCAAAGACTCATGGTCTGGGCAGAAGCACCCTCTGCAGAGTAGACGCTGCCCGTCCTGTAGGGAGAGAGGACAATTTATGGTTTTCTGTCACCTACCGCCTATTTCCCTGATGTCCACTGGGGAATCCCTGATGTCCACCCTTGGGTCTAGGCACATCGGCAAGGCAGGAAGCTGACTCTGTTTCAGTCCCTGGCTGACCCTGATGACCTGATCATGTGACCCAAGATGAGCCAATAAGATTTGCTCCAGTTGCTGGGGAGGGGCTTCTTTGTTCCCTGACATCATTGTGCTGGTCTGTTAGCTAGAGCCCAGAGCTGTGGCTGCCACCATGCTGTCCCTCCTGGCCTGGGCATGAGAAAATCAACAGTGGAGGAAGACAAGCCCTCCTAGACATGCTGGTCCTCACCTGAAGCCAAGGACCCTTGGGTTGGGCCACACCTGAAGCCAAGGGCCCCAGGATTTCTCAGTCCACTGGGTAATGAAGGTGCTGTCTGAATAACCCACCTCGACTGGGCTCTCGTCATCTGCCCCGGGATGGTTCTGACTAAATCAGGACCTCGAGGCAGCTAGGAAGGGAGGGTCTGGATCAAAGCCTAGTCCTCCTCGTTCCAATGCCCAGGATCTTAACAACCTGCACCACCACCCACTCTGCCTGCAGCTAACTCCCAGCAGCCACCGCGCCCACCACCAGTCCCAACAGCGGACACCGCTGGTGGGAGAGCGGGAGAGCCTGTGTGTACACCGTCACCGCACAGAGAATGGGGACACTGCGTACCCTAAAGTCACCTCTAGAAGCGAGCAGTGGTCTTTAGTATATCCACATGTCCACACATGAACATTTCATTACCCCCAAGGTCCCGTAAGCAGGGTCTCCCTGTCCCCCTCATAGCCCCTGGTGACTCCTGGCTATCTGCTGTGTCTGGTCTCGGCCTCTCCTGGACACAACTGTCAATTTTAACTCATCAGAACCTTGGGATGCAGCAGTGGGGACCAACGTGGCCAAGAGGGTGGACTCTGGGGTCACCCATCCAGCCCCAAGTCTGAGTAGTTCCGACGCTCACCAGCTGCGTGACCTTGGGCAAATGAGGGCACCTTTCCGGGCTGCAGACGGAGGGGCTGCCAGGCTGTTTAGATCCCCGTCTGTGTAATGTGACAAGCTTGTCACGAGGATTAAATGAGTAGCTACATCTAGATATCGAGCAGAATGGGTCCCTCATCCAGTGCTCTGGAAATGCCAGCTGCTTCTGCTGCCATCAGGCACACAGGGGTTAAGGGGGTGCCCAAGGCCACACAGCTAGTGGGCGGCTGGGCCCGGGCCTCCTGACCGAACCCTCTGCTTTTCCATTACAACACACTGGCCAGGCTGCCCCTCGGCGAGGCCTCGCCCCCCCCCCCCACTCTCTCTGAGCCAAGTTACTTCTGGAAACACCAAGGCGCGGGGCCAGAGGGGAGGAGGGTGGCGGAATCATGAAATCATCTACGGGGCGTCGTGGCCCCTCTGGGCTGCCTCCCGCCCATCATGAGGAACAGCTGCGGCCCTGGCTGACCTCGTCTGCTTCCCTGTGGGTGGGGAAGGCTGTTCCCAGGGTGACGAGGACCCCAGAAATCCCGTGACTCTCCGCCGCGGCTGCCCATCTGGGACTCCTTAAAGCCAGCTCGGCTGGGCGCGGCCTCTGGAGGACAGTGCTGTGGTGGGGCCAGAGGGCTGGGCAGCCATTTACATGACGGCAAACCCCCAACTGCCACCAATTATGCTGAGCTGGGAAGAAACCTAACTTTCAAGTTCTGGTCGGAATAAAGTTGAGTCAGGGCTGGCGGGGAGCCGGGGGCCAGGGTCAGGAAGAGCTGCGGTCAGACCCTGGCTCAGCCCTCCCAGGCACGTCACTGGGCAAGGCGCGTCTGTGCAGGGCTGACCCTGGGCCCGGGCCTCTGGCCTTGGGGTTTGGTCCCGCCACGTCATTTTAGATGGCACCCCAGCATCACGACCACGGGTCCTCTTTGTTGTTATATTTACCTGACGCTTGCAGCAGAACAGAAGAGAATCATGATGTCTGGTCTGGTTGCTTGCTGCTGAACAAAACCGAGTTCACTCCATCTTAAATCGCTAAGCAACTGGCATCTCAACTGCTTTGTGGGATGCTGCACGTCCGGGGTCTTCTGAAGGCGGCAGGATTGCCCAGTGGTACTGGAGAAACCCATGACCAGCACATCCTTCCTCCCCTCCTGGGTAGGACACGGGCTCTGAAAGCTGTCTGTGTGACATTCTCAGGAGCAAGGATGTCTGCCATTAACATCACCTGAGCTGCCAGAGACCCACGAGGAGAAGGGACAAGATGGGGAAGGGCCGGGGCCTGTCCTCTGGTGCCCAGCTACCTAACCTCTGATCATGGCTGTGTCTAGAGCCACCTCTGTCCAGGTCTCAGTCCACACCCTGGGACTCCAGGGACTCAGGGAAGCTGGCTGTCCAACCACTCTCTCATGCTGACTGGGTGGAGATAAGCCTGGGACACATGGCGTGCTTGCTGGGCCTCTGAGATGTGACCTTTACTTCTCCCTCGTACCCAGTGTGTGCTGCAGCTGCGGGAGTCACTTCGCAGCCCCAGGGGTCTGAGCACGAGGCCTACATGGCAGAAGAGGGAGTGTGGAAGGAGGGAGAGGCAGGCGAACGCTGTGGGAGCTCCTGATGCAGCCGTGCCTGAAGCCCAGGAGCCCCGTGCTGCTAGGTCATTCAGCTACACCAGTCTAAAGCCCTCCCGCTCACTCTGGCAAATCTGAGTTGGTTCTGCCACTCAAAACAGAAGTGTCCTGAGTGACACACTGGAGGGAAGACCTCGCCTCTCTGCAGCAGACAGAAAGCTGGGCAAGCTCCCCCGGCCCTCACCCCTGAGGCAGACGCTTCTTAAAGAGCTCTGTCCCAGCCTGACCTGAGGGCCAGCGCTTCTCACACCTGCTCTGAGTTGCCTGCCTTCCTGGCTGAGATGGCGCTGCTGGCCCAGAGGTCAGGACTGCTCTGCCCTCCTGGGATGGGGGACGCTGAGACCACAGGTGCACGTGGTGTTGGTCCACTGACTCATCCGTCCATCCGTCCACCAAACACTGCCTGCTGGGCATTGAGTAGAACATCACAGAGACAGGCTGGGGCAGATGTACCTCTGCCCATGACTGTGCCTCTGCCCATGACTGCTGTCGTCTAGAGGGGAACATCACTGGGGACACTGGGCCCCCAGACAGGCAGTCAACACAGAGAAGCCCGCAGGCCCGTGGGGCGCAGGTGGCTCTTGCTGGCTGGGGAGAGTCAGACAGGCTTTCCAGAGGACGAGTGCCCTGAGGAGCTGCCCAAGTCAAGCTCAGGAGGGGCTGGGAATGTTCCAGGTGAGGCTCTGCAGGTACAAAGGCCCGGCGAGGGCGGGTCAGGGAACACGGGGCATTTCAGGAGCTGAGTGTGGAGGGAGAGGCTGAGGTGGGCCAGAGATGGGGCTGGACTCAGAGCCCAGTGGCCCCAAGAGCCCAGCTGCACCCAACAAGCTGAGCTCACCAGCAAATGAATTGGCATTCAAAACCCAGGTCAAGATGGCGCTGCAGAGCCACATGGGGAGGCCCCGGTCCTCCTGCAACAGACCACAGCGCTGCCTCTCAGAGCACAGAGCATGAGGCACGGTGCCGACGGGGGAAGTGACGCATGTCTAAGTCTAGGAAGCAGAGAGTCCAGACCCTCCAGCCACAGTGCACAGTGACCAAGGAACCCCTGCCCACTCGCAGCCCAGCAGGACCCGAGTCCTCACCTGCAGGTCGAAGAACTTGCTGTAGCGCCGGTAAATGGCCTCGGTGGAGCCGCTGGACCACGTGACGCGGATGATGTAGACCTGCGGGGAGGGACAGACAGTGTCAACACCAGGCGTATTAAGACGGAGTTTGGTGGCTCTCCGACTCTCCTGCCCTCGTCCTCCTGCCAGGGGTGTCCAGACGCCAGCTCCTCCACCTCGGACTCCTGGGATTCCAGAATCTGCCCTGTGACAATGACCCACCCACAAAACGAAGGGAGCCAGGGTCCTTGGTCCTGGGAACCCAGGGAGCTCAAGGCCCAGGGCAGACCCAGGCTCCACGGCAGCCCTGCCGAGGTGGGCTGGAGGCTCCTGGCCCTCTCCGAGCCCAGCTGCCCCCTCAGAAGGAGGGTACCAACTGCAGGGTCAGACTGGTGCCAAGGATGAAGTGGCGTCAAGTGTGGGGGGTGGCAGCCCAGGGGTGGCACCTGGCCGCCTTAGAGTCCCCGCGGGCAGAGCCATGCTGCCCTGCCCATCAGTGAGGACGCGGCCATGTCACTGTCCCCCTCCCGTCCCAGTGTCTTTGTGAACTGGGCTGACAAAACCGGCTTCTTCCCCTTCCGCGGACAGACCCGGGATCTGACAGAATCAAGGATGGGGATCGTGTGTCACCCAAGCTTGTGGCTTCTATGGTGCATGACAAGGGCCTGGGCTTTCTGCCTCATTCCCCTTTTGGTGCATTGAGGGCTTTTGTGCAACTAAGACAATTCTGACCTACGAGGAAAGTTCACCAGGGACACAATGGACTCTCCACCTCAAACGCATCACGGCTGGCCCTGTGTGTCCGCAGGGTCCACCTCTGCAGACGGAAAATACTGTCCTTACTCTCTTGACACAAGATGGCAAGAACTGACACAGCACCGACACTGACCTTAGGGACCACAAGCGGGGGTGGGTCAAAGCATGAAGATTGTGTGTAAATACTACATTCTTTCATCTGAGCATTGAGGACTTTGATAGCTTCGAGGCTCATGGACCCAATCCCAACAGAGACCGAGGAACAGCGGCATATAATTAAACTCACCCTACACAAACATCTAGGCACATGCACACACACACACTCACACCCCTACCTCTCATGATTCCCAGCACCCACTTTCTACAGTGTCACCAAGAATACTGATTGACAGATGCTCCATCATTACCCCTGGAGAGATGCAGGGTCGCGGTCCTACGATTCCTGCTCATTTGCATCATGTGATCCTACGCGGCTTTCTTGCATATGTGTTTCTGTGCAAGGAGCCCTATTTAATACGCACTGTGCATCCTCAAACTCTGAGCTCACAGCCGTGGCTCCAGGACTCATGCCTGAACCAGGCTTCTCTCTCACACACATGTGGGGCCCATCAGGAACCCAGATGGCACCTGAGCACTGTGCAGGGGCCATCGTAAATCACAAACCACCAACAAAAAGCCCAAAAGTGCAAAAAATAATGGCACAGTAGATCTGATAAATTTAGCAAATTAGTATAGCAGACCACAGAATCAACACAGGGAAACCAGTGGCTTTTCTGTACACCAACAATGAACTTCCTAAGAAAGAAATCAGGAACTTAAAAAAACACAGAGGGTTAACCCTGACCAAGGAGGTGGAAGACCTCGACTATGAGAATCACAAAGCTGAAGATGGAACGAGAGCCACCTGGAGGACGGCAGCCCCACCCACCCTGTGGTGGGCTGGCGGGGTGCTGAAAAATGGCATGCTACCGAAAGCAACCTATGGATTCAGTGCGAGCCCCACTGAAGGACCAAGGACACCACTCACAGATCTAGAAAAGTAATCCTGAAATTCACGGGGAAGATCAAAGGCCCTGAGTAGCTAAAGCAATCAATCCCGAGCAAAAAGGGCAATGCTAAGGCCATCACAGGGCCTGACTGCAAAACCCACCATAGAGCAACGGGCACGTGACCTACGGAACAGACACGGAGATAGGCCCACTCAGCCACAGCCATCGACTTGGGGCCAAGGTGCCAGAAACAGGCTGGAGCAAGAGCCTCCCGGCCAAGAGTGCTGCAGCTCCTTAGGCAGAAGGAAGCCAGGTCCCAATCTCTCCAGAGGAGTCAAAGACCTAGAGATTAAGACCTGAAACTCCAAAACTGCTGGAGAACACAGGGAAGCACTTCAGGACACGGGCCAGACAAGGACTTCCTGAAGAGGACTCAACAGCTCGGGACACAACAGCAAGGACTGAGATGGACAAGTGGGGCCGGCCAGCTGAGGAGCGTCTGCCAGCCCAGGAGGCCATCAGCAGAGTGGAGGGACGGCCTGCAGGGGGCCGTCCCTGCTCAGTTCTTCCAGAAGAGGCTCAATGTCCAGAACACGTGAAGAACTCAGGAAACTGAAAACCAAAACACAGACGATTCGATCAGTGGGCAGATGAACTGAACAGGTGATTCCCCAAAGAGGAAGTAGGGACGGCCAACAAATACATGAAAAATGCCCAACCTCTTTCACCATCTGGGAAACACAAATCAAAACTGCACCGAGGCTCTGACTCACTCCAGTCAGAACGGCTGGCAGTCACCAAAAACAGAACAAAACAGAAAACCACCACACGACACTGTTGGGGGGTGTGAACCAGTACAGCGCAAGGGAAGAAGCATGGGAGTCAAACAAACCTGATCCCGATAGACCGGCCTGGGGGTGTGCTTCAGGGAATTACAGCCAGGGCACCCCAGAGACACCTGCACAGCCACGTCCCTCACAGCGCGCTCAATGGCCAGGTTACGGCATGAGCCAAGGCACCATCAGCACATCATGGATAAAGGAAACATGTGCGTGAAGAGCATCATCAGACATAAAGAAGAATGAGCTAGGCTGGGTGCCCTGGCTGTGATCCCAGGAGCTCGGGGGCTGAGGCAGGAGGATTATGACTTCACAGCAGCCTCAGCAACTCAGTGAGACCCTGCCTCAAAATGAAAAATAAAAAGGGCAGGGGATGCGGCTCAGTAGTTGAGCACCCTGGGTTCAATCCCTGGTACCAAGGGAAAAGGAGGAGGAGGAGGAGGAGCTGGCAGAGTCACACTGCAATCTCAGCTACTCGGGGCTGAGGCGGAAGGACTGCAGGTTCAAGGCCAGTCAAGGGAACTCAGCAAGACCCTGCCTCAGATGAGATTCTAACCAGGGCTGCAGAGGGAGCTTGGTGGAGAGAAGAGCACTTGCCCAGCATGTGGGGGCCCTGGGGTCAACCCCAGGCCTGGAAAGAAAATCGGGAAGGCGCATGCAGGAGATAAGACCAGTCATCTGCAGGGAAGTGGGGGAGCCGGAGAGCCCCATGTTGAGCAAAGGAGCCAGACTCAGGAAGAAAAGTGTCGCAAGTGTCTCCTCACGTGCGAATCTAGGAGGACAAAGATGATCTGAGAGTGGCAGGGATGGGGGGAGGGCCGGGCTGTGGTGTAAGCCGTATGCATGTTCCCACGGCTGCCGTGACACCTGCGAGTCTGTGTCATTAGAGTGCACTGGTGACAATGGCCCTGAAGGGACCAGGAGGAGGACACTTGTTTAGAGCCAGTGAGCACTCATGAGAGTGTCACAAGTGCTCACTTGGGGCTATAAATGAACCCGAGCAGATACGTGTCTTCCCACACAGGTCGCCGACCGTGCCGTGTCCGGATGTGTGTGCAGGCCCGAGGTTCATGGCAGGGCGGCAGGCTACGCAGGACCTCGAGAACTCTGACCTCGATGCCTTCTGTACTTCTAGAGTTGTGGCGGGTACAGCTGCTCCTCCACCTGCAATGGGGCCGTGCCCAGGGAACCCACCCCCTTGCCGGATGTCACACTGATAGGAGCACCAGGAATATGACGGGACCAATCAGTGTGCGATGGGTAGAAGGCTGCGAGCAACACAAGGATGTGACTGCAGAGCTCAGGCCTAAGGGAGTGGTGTGCAAGTCCACCCCAGGGCGTCCACCCCGGACCCCACCCAGTTATCAGTTGCAAGCACAATTGAACTCGGACTTGAAAACCCAGACTTCTGGGGGGCGGCAGGGAACCGGACAGAGAGACTGAGACCTCTGCCACTTTTGTCCCTCCCCCCGCCACCCCGCACCAGACTCCCCTGGCCCGGGTGGTATTCCAGGGACCTGGACTTAAGACACGTCACAGGTGAGCGTCTGGGCCCCTTGGGTGTAGACTCAGTTGGGACTTAGAATTAAGATGTGTATCTGGAGTGTGATGGACATTAATAAAATAGGCTTGATTGCATCTAACTGCGCCTCAGAGAGTCAATAATGATCGCTCGTGACACACACTGCGTGACTTTGTCATTCCCCTCATGACTGTGGGGCTGACTGGGCCGTGGCTCTCTGGACCGCCTAGCGTCACGAGGGTGTTGGACGGCACAGCTAGCCTGGGAAAAGGTCCAAATTTGGAATTTTTAGTGTGATTTACAGTCGAATGGCAAGTCAACCCGTCCTAAGTCAGGAACAGTCTATTTCTAACCAGAGAAAAGAACATCACCTCCTAGGACCAGAAGAACCAGTCTGGGGACGATGTCTTAGGAGCCCCAGCCGTGTCTTCACTGGGCCCTGGCTCAGGCCCGGGGCCTGGTTCAGCTGAGGGCAGAGGGCTCTCCAGGGTGGGGTAGGAGGACATTCACAGGCTGGGGACACGGTGGGGTGCAGGAAGACAGGCCCCTGAGCTCATGGAGCTAGGGTGAGACCTCAGCCTCTTCACGCCCCCGTGTTGGACGCCGGTCCTTCCCACCCACAGGCCACCGACAGGACTGAATGAGAACTTTTGTAAAGCTCCAGAAATGGAAGAAATGTTGGTCAGAATCTCTGCTCACACTGGGACTTGAAGGGAAATGCTCTGTGACTCGTCCCGTCCTTCACCCTCACCTCCCGTGGCAGGTCCAACCCCAGGCCAGCGCACCGAGGCCCCACTAAGCACCAGGAATTTGGGCTCCATTTCCAAGCGCCAGTCAGTGGGGTCAGTTCTGCCAGGAGTAAAGACTGAAGCCAGAATCAAGCTGAGCAGCCCCTGAGAGGCAGGAGGGGCCAGGCCTGGGCAAAGCCAAAGGCAGCAAGAGGCCTCAGCAAGA